TCTCCCACATGGAGGAACTTGTTATGGTTTGTGCATAGACAAGCTCATGGTTTGTGGCTCAGGCTTCAAGCTGACATTTGCCTTCTGCAGCTGAAATTAAAGGAGCTCCTTGCAGGCTTTCTGTGAAGTTTACAGAACTGTAGCAATTTCTGATTTATTCTTTCCTGCCTCCCCTAAAATCTGTATTTTTATGGATTCCAGCAAACAGCTGGCCACAGAGGTCAAGGTTTTGGGCCAGGTTTTACTTGGCAAAAGCTGAAGCTGCTGTAAGTCCCCAGGTGGGAATGAGTTGCTCTGTGACCCAAACTAAGATCTCACCCCTGAGAGAAGACTCTGCTGCTGCCTCACCCCCTCAGTCTGACATCAAATTGCCCAAACCCATCCTGTTTTGTTGCCAGAGCCAGGCACAGCCCTGCAGAGGTGCTGCTCTCACAGAGTTCTGCAGTGGCCAAATTGTTCCCACATACCTCGAGGCAGCAGCACCGAAGTTAAAGGCAGGGTTATGAAATGATTTGAGATCTTTTGAAAGCAGATGTAGCTCGTCAAACAGGGATAATTCAGGGTTTGTGACGTTCCCAGGCTGCTTGCTGTGGGAAGAGTCAGATTTCCTTTCCTGTGGAGCAAAGCAAGTCGGACAATTTGTTCCTGTTTCTGGCTGTGAAAGGGCACAGAGTCTGCATGAACTGTGGGGATCACCAAACAATAAAATCCCTAAATATTCATTTCTATTCCTCGTGCCTGAAGCCAGTCCTGTCCTGACTTTTTCCAGTCAGCATTCTTATTTGTCTGGATGGTTTCTTACCTTTTCTGTGTGGGGAATTTGACCAGCAGTCATATTCCTCAGGAATAAAATGGGTTTTGCCCAGCGTGGGCTGCAGAACTTCCCACCCCGAGGTCCCCGTGTGATCCAAGCCTGCTGAAAGAGAACATTGTCTGCACACAATTTGCACCAAAATTCACAGAGTAATTCTAACAATACCAGAGTCCTGACAGATTTATAGGCCTATCACTGATATGGCTGCAGGCTCTGGAAATTGATTTATATGATTCAGCAACAGCTAAAGGTTGGGGAGGTTTTCCCCTGCTGGGAGTCGTGCTCTGTACTGGAGGCTGCTTCCAGGACTCCAGAAATCCCATCTCTGGGGAATCTGCTCCTTCCAGGCATTTCATGTGGTTATTTTTGGCTGTGCCTGTGGAGATTTCTGGTCTCCCAGCACAGCTATTTTTATAGCACATGGCTGTGAAGTCCATAGTATGAAACATAATTTGATTTTGAACATTGGAGTGGCCCAGGACCATACTTAAGGAATCACTGCCTCCTGCACCTGCTCCTTCTTTGGCCTGTGCCTCAAACACTCCTTTACTGTATGGAGTGAAGCTTCAGAGCCTTCTAGACAACAGTTCCTTTATGGAGCGTGCTAAGCTGCCATAAATATTTAATTAGGTGTTACTGTGGGTTTGGAGAGATACAGAAAAAAATAATCCCCATTTCCTTACATTTAAACAGAACCTTTTCCTGCTGGAAAAAATTCCCCACATTAAGCACTGACAGGGAGCCGTATTTTAAGAGGGGGCATAAAAATCTGGGAGGGTGAGAGGCTGGTGAAGAGGAGATTTCAGGGAGCTGAGGGTTTTTCCTCGGTGGGAAGGAGCTGCTGGATGGCAGGTTTGAGATGGAGCTGTGTGGGTGTCTGTGAGGCAGCACAGCTCCGTGTCAGGCTGGTGGGTGAAGCTCCTTCCCAACCAGGGCAACTTCTGCTTTCCTGAAAATAAATCATGGCTTCTGGGGCATTTTGTAATGAATCAGCAAAGCAGGCTGTCCTGGGCATGCAGGGGGTGGCACTGCCTGGATTCCTTCCTGTGCCCCAAACTTTTGGATACAACAACGACCTGGACTGGAATTACAGCTGATGAACTCAGCAGAGAAAGGTGAGAGAGAAGAAAGAGGAGGCAGAAGTGTGACTGTGTTGCCTAATTAAAGAAAATCAATCAACTGACAGACCTGCAGCTAAGATTTCACCCCAGTTTTCCATCCAGGTGGCAGAGGGGAAGCTTAAATATCACTCAGAATGTCTCGTAATTATATTGGCTTTGTCTCTCAAAGCCAGAGAGAACTAATTTAGAGTGGAAATTAAAAAATGACATATGCATGGTTTGGTCAAAATAATGACGATGGGGGATTAGGGAACAATTTGTGAGTATATTAAGGGAGAGAAATTATTTAGAGCAGGGTACGGGTTTTATGTAATCAGATGAAATTACCAGTAGAAAAAGTAAAACAGTAAGTTTTAATTTTAACTTTAAAAATGCAGGAAGCAGATCTGACACTGAGCTCTGCTGGGCTGCTCAACAGCTCAGCACAGACCTCTCTAAGGGGAGCATTTGGGAATTGTCCCCACACTGTGGGAGAAGAACAGGTAAGGTTGTTCCAAATTAGTGCAGAGTGAGTATTCTGAGAGGTGTTGGGTTTACCTAGGTACTGCTTGTGTGGCAGATGCATTTGCTGATTAAAATAATGATTTTACCTATGGAAACTGAGCTAGCTGCTTCATTAGCAAAAAAAAAAAAAAAAAAGTAACACACAGACCAAAGCCCCATAACCACCATGGGAAATGCTGTGTGCACTTCCAGTCCCTCAAATCTGCTCTGCAAACATCTCCTTTCCCTTCTTTACTCAGTTACTGCTCCTGAAAAGTCAAACCACAAGCATGGAAATGTCCCCAAGCCTGACTTTACCCCCAAATCTCAGCTTTCCTATGTCATTGATGGTGTTCCTAGGCATGAGCACACCGGGAGTTTGGCTGACATGTGAAAGGAGGAATTACCTAACATGGGTTTAGACTCCCAGAGTGTAAAAATTGGATCTAAACAGTCTTCTCTCATGCTTGCTGAAGCAGATTGCACAGCCCACTCTGGGCAGGGCAGACCTTGGTGGAGATGAACAGCCTGGGTCACAGCACTTCTGTATCACAGAGCCAGCCTGGAGCACCCGGAGCTCTGCCCTCGAGTTTATTCCAGCCTGGAGCCCTGCCCTCGGGGTTTATTCCAGCCTGGAGCCCTGCCCTCGGGGTTTATTCCAGCCTGGAATCCAATCTCAAGGCCCAAACAGTCCGAGATTTTCTCATCACAACCCCGGGTTTGACTGCCCAGCACCTTCCAGCTGCCAGGGAAGCGACTCCTCAGCCAATGCCTCAAACCAGCAGCATCACACAGACTTAATTAACACTTTATTAATCAGCCAAGCACTTGAACCACCTCTGGGCACCACCCACCTGGATAAGACTCTTGTCCCACACAAAACAATCTCTGTAGTCCTGAGTGTTTGTTAACTGCAGGGATCTCAGGCAGTGTTTGTTGAGCTGAGCTTAAACTCACATGGCAGAGCTCCGGGGGAAATCCATCCATGTCCATGGGAATGCAGTATCCCAACAGCTTTGGAGCTCTGGGTATCCCACAGGCCAAGGAAATAAATCAATATATTCACCCTGGGAATCTGAACCCTGGATGTGCAGGCATACATGGATATTTTACCTGCAAGAGAAATCAAAATCTGTGCACGAGCAGATCTGTGACTGTTGGAATATACACAATTCCTTCTGTAATTCATTTGAGTATTTAGTGATAGTGACCTGCTGTAATAATGAATTTATGCAGTAGTAAAAAACCCAAAAATATTGCAAAACTGAAAAAAAAAAAAAGTGATTTTGTGGAGATCAGTTTGCTTTAGTGCTTAACAGGCAGCAGAGTGCCACACTCAGGGGAGGCAGCAGCAGATTGTGCTGGGAAACTTCAGCTTTTTGAGTGCTCAAATTTGGGATAATTCACCCCAAAGCCCAGATCTGGGTATTGCTCAAAGTCACTTATGCAATTAATCCTATAAAATATCTCATGTGAATTAACTTAGAAGCTTTCCTGTTACAAAACCTTTATGTGTAAGTAACGTGCATTCTTTACGAACAGACTGGATGTCCTGGAAGGGCCAGTTTAAAGAGCAGACTGCAGTAATCTACAGTATTTTCCCGCATTCCATCTCTTTTGGAGCGTGGCAATCCCTACGCCAGCAGCTTTGCAGGCTTAACAGCCTCAGTGATAGCAATTATTCACTGCCCTCTGCAGAGGTGTGCCGGTAGAGCCTTTAAGCCGAGATGCGATGAGAATTCCCGCAGGAATGTTGGGTTTTTATGGAAAAAGCGCGGGAAGGCTCTGACGCGGCCGCTACAGCGCACTGCAGGCCGAGCCCTCATGGCGGCCGGTGCGGGAGGGGGGGAGGGACGGAGCCTCCGCCTCTGATTGGCGGAGCCACACAGAGGGCGTGGCCACTAGCGGGACCAATCCACATTCCGCCGGCGAAGGGGGGGAGTAGAGGGTTCTCCCCACGCAAATGGTACAGCCCCAACCCGAGCCCTTTGGCCGGGCCGTTACCAGCGCCCGCGCGCGCCCAGGCAGGACCCACATCGGGCTGCCCGCCGCGCTGCCTGATGCGGCGGCGGCCTCGCGGGGCCGATGGCGGCGTTGCGCCGGCTCCCAGCCGCAGCCGGCCTGTCCGCCGGCTCCCGGAAGAGGCTCCGCCGCCGCTCGGCATGGCTTTCGGCCGCCGGCCTCCCGCGGCGGCGCGCTCGGTTTTCCGGCATTCTCGTTGGGCGGCCGCCGGCGGGGCGGGGGGATTGCGGCGCGAGGCGGGGCGCGCGCGGGGCGGGGGGGTCCTCGTCGGCGCGCGGAAAAAAACGCGCCAAGTTCGCTGACGGTGTCCCCGCGGTCTCCATGGCAACGGCGAGCGGGAGCGGGGCCGGCATGTAGCGGTGAGTGAGGGGAGCGGCCGCACCGCGGCCTCGGGCCCCGCCGGCCGCGGGGAACATGCGGGGGGCGCGGGGGGGCGGCCCGAGCCCGGGGCGGGGGGCGGCGGGGCCGCGCTCGGCCCCCTCGGGGAGTAAATGGCGCCTGGTGTGCGCGTGTGTGTGTGTGTGCGCGCCAGGTGTGAGCGCCCCGGCCGCGCCCCGCAGGAACCATGCCCGGCGTCCTGCCCGGCGACAGCGCCAGGGCCAGCCCCTCCAAGAAGAACAGGCTGTCGCTGAAGCTCTTTCAGAAGAAGGAGGCGAAGCGAGTGCTGGATTTCATCGAGGCGCAGGAAAATGAGCCGAAGGGCGCGGAGTTCCGAGGCGCCGAGATGTGAGTGCCGCGCGGGAGAAGTTTTTGTGGCGATGTTGTGTCGGTCTCGTGCTGCTCCGTCCTCCGCTCCTTTCGCTTTCGTGTTCTCGCAGCAGTAACGTGCCGCAGCGCGCGCTGCATTCCATTAACGTGCGCTTCAGTTAAATGAACGCGCGCTCACGTTAAATTCACCGTCCGGGCAGCTTCATCGAACTGAACAAACTAATTACTGTCACCAGTTTCTATTTTAAGAAAGGCAGCTTTGCCCCACCGGGGATGTTTCGTTGGCGCAAACTTCGGGATCACTTGCTGAAGTTAGTTTTTAAAACGTAATTAATCGCTGTTACCAACTTCTAAAAACTCTTTTAAGAAAACAATTTTGCGCCCTTGGGGGTGTTTAGTTGGCACAAACTTGGGGATCAGTAGAAAAAATCGCTTTGCTTCAGGTTAATATAAGTAGTTGTGTCACTGAACTATTTATATTAAAATTTAATTTTCTAGCAAGATGATCTCTAGTGAAAATATGTAGGATCTTTAATTGTGGGGTTGGCTGTCATTCATTGGGGCTTTTCAGGCCCTGAGCAAATCCAGTGATGAATTTCATAGCTGGTGAAGGGATTTAAGTGGGAAAAAGAAAATTGTGGCCTGTTAGAAATAGTTGGAGACTTTAAAAAGTTCTGTTGTGTCATTACAGTGTATTAATAATTTCTATCAGTAATTAGTAATAACTATGACCAGTGTATAGTGTGTCAGATTTTTTTTTTTTTAAGATTTTTTTTTCTGGTTTTATGCTTTTGCTTTGTGTCTAGAAATTATATGACTGGAGCAGGAGGCAACATAAAAACACGTTCTAGGCACATTTTTTTCTGCCTTATGAATGAATATAGCACATATAAAAGTATTTAAATATGAAGATTTTGATCCATTAAATCAGTCTCCTGGTATTAGGTGTGCTGGAACTTAGAGAAGGTTTTTTTCCTGTGTGGTTTTGGGTGGGTTGGTGAGAAGTCACAGTGAATTCAGACACACTTTTCCACAATTTTGATCTGCATTTCTCAGTGCTGAATTCTCTGAGGTGGGGAGAGATAAAGGAGTGTTTTTTTCCAAAGTGTCTCTTATCCCAGTTCTCTGTTTCCCAGTGACCAGGTGGTTCCTGCAGCACAGCCCCCCTCCCTTGTCAGCTGTGAGAAAAAAGACAACATGTTGCCTTTTGTGGGCTTGAACAACCTGGGCAACACCTGCTACCTGAACAGTGTCCTGCAGGTGAGGCCGTGTCCAGGGGGGCTCCAAAAGGGAGATTTTGGTTAAGCACAAATGGGTGAAATCAGTTTATTCTGGGTGCAGTATAGAGGGCATCTCATTACAGCAGGGAAATAAAGATGCTGCTGCAGGAAATGTGTGCCCTGTGGTTGTCCTGATTGGGAAATTCTTCAGTTTCCATACCCAGGGCTCCTCCCTGCTGTGAAAAATCCTGGATCTTTGTGTGCCTGGGGACACGCAGAGCTGTGTGGATTATAAATGTGCATTTATGTGTGGAATAACTTCTTACCCCAGTTATTCTCATGTTTTCAACTGTTGCTTTCAGGTATTATATTTTTGTCCTGGTTTTAAAACTGGAGTAAAACATTTATATAACATTATTTCAAAGAAGAGAGAATCTTCAAAGGATGAAGGAGAGCAAAAGGCAGAAAAGGTAACAAATCCTCCTGTGTTCTTTATTTGTAATCTTGCAAGCGAAGCTGTCCTGAATGTAGTGAAAATTTAACTGACTGCTGTTTTTAAGAAGCTTTTCAGCATTGTTTTCTACACTGTTAATTCAGGTGAAGATGTATTTGAGTTGTTTTGAACTTTAGCACAAGTTTTAAAGTCTAACAGAAGAAATTTGAGGAAGATGCCTGCCCATGCTTCTGGCACAAAGATATGGAAATGGGAGTTTGGGAGCAAGGATGGTTTGGAATTTTAAACTAATGGCTGATTGGGCTTTTCTACTTGAAAAAAACCAAAATACTGTTTGAAACCCACTTGTCTCCCATAGCAGACAAAAAATTCAGCCAATTACAGAAAATCAAGGGAGGGAGGAGATAAAAATGTTAATTTATGACTGATGTGACCATTGCAAGTGTTTTTATTCATTTTACATTGTCATTGCAGGGAAGCTGTAAAGAAGATCCCTTGGCTAGTTATGAACTCATCTGCAGTTTGCACTCCTTGATCCTTTCAGTTGAGCAGCTTCAAGCCAGTTTTCTCCTAAACCCAGAGAAATACACGGATGAATTGGCCACTCAGCCCCGGAGGCTGCTGAACACCCTCAGGTACAAATCCCCTTAAATGCTGACAGAATTTCGTCTTGACATTTCCAGGCCATTACACTGCCCAGCTTTAGAGGTTAGTGGAAGGTAGATGGCCTTAAATTTGGGGTGGCCTTATAGGAAGGAAGATTTTTGTGCTTATTGTAGGCGCTGTGATGTTGAAAATTTGAAAATAAATTCAAATTTTTTAAGACTATAATGCAGAAAGGGTTTAAAACAGTGCTTAGGTAGAGAAGAGTTATTGAATTACAGAATGGTTTGGGTTGGAAGGGACTTTAAAGTTCATCCAGTTCCAGCCTTGTCATGGACAGGGACACTTGCCACTATCCTAGGTTGCTCCAAGCCCAGTCCAGCCTGGCCTTGAACACTCCCAGGGATGGGAAGGATCCCCTTGGAGCTGAGGAGCTCCACTGCTGGGTGTGTGTAAATCCTTAATGCTGAATCTTCCCCCAGCTCTGTGACAGAGAGGACTCCTCTCTATACCTGGAGAAGATCCTCCATGACTTCTAAATCCCTAATTTCAGTCTCAAATCACAAATCCCCAGTTAGCACAGGACACCAAACCCTCATTTTTTGCTCCTTTCTTTGCACAGAGAGCTGAACCCCATGTACGAGGGGTACCTGCAGCACGACGCCCAGGAGGTCCTGCAGTGTATCCTGGGCAACATCCAGGAAACCTGCCAGCTGCTGAAGAAGGAAGAGCTGAACAAACTGCCTGTGGAAGAGCCTGCAGCTAAACTGGAGGAAAAACCCAAGCAAAACTCTGAGAGCAATGGATCTGTCAGCCCTGCTGAGGAGGAGGATCCCAGCCTGGGCAGCCACGGCGGAGACGCGGCCAAGGACAAACTGCTCAAGGGAAACGGGAAAAGGAAAAGCGACGCCGAGGGCGGCAACGCCAAGAAAAAATCCAAAGTATCAAAAGAGCAAATTGCAGCAGAAGAAAATCAAAGACAAACCAGGTCCAAGAGGAAAGCCACAGGAGAAAAGATGGAAAACCAAACGGATGCCATTGCCAAGTGTTCCGGGGAGAGCGAGAGCGCCAAGCCCACGCAGAAAAAGTCGCGCCTTAGGTTAAACTGGTTAAAATCTTCCTGCAAACAGCCCAGTATTCTGTCCAAATTTTACAGTCTAGGAAAGTTAACTACAAACTTGGGATCCAAAGACCCGGGGAAAGAATATGACTGTGAGTTTGAAGAGTCAGCTGTCAAGTGCGAAAATGGTGACAGTAAAGAAGAATATCATGAACCAGCGTCTCCTGTGGAAAGCCATCATGGAAAAGGAACTGAAAAAGAACCAAAAAAGGAAGGTTGGTGCACAAGTGGATGGGCTTAAAATTAGTAGGATTAAGAAAGTACAATGCGTGGGAAGTCAGCCTTCAGACTGCGCAGCCTGCAGAGCTCTAAACACAAAATTAGATTTTTCAGGAATTGAAGATGATTTTTTTTTAGGAAAAGTAATTTATTTTTATATGTGTTTGTAATTTTTTTTCTTTTAGAACTTGACCTGTTTAGCTTAGATCTAGAGGCATTCTCTAACATTCTGTAATCATTGTACAATATGTATAAAAAGGCAGAATATTACTAGGTTTGTATTTATCACTAATTTTTGTCATCCATAGAAAGAGCAAGTGGATTCAAGATGTAAAGGGATATTTCTGGCAGAACAGAACCAAACCTCACTAGCTATGGTTTTACAAACAATATCCTCTTTTTCCCTTCCAGTTCCTTAATCTTTCCATATTCCCAACCTCCCCAAGAACCAGGAAGGACTCAGGATGTATTAAAGATCTAATCTGTTTAGATCTAATAGATACCAATTAGAAATGCTAATTGGCTGGCAGGTCTGGATTTTGTTTATGTCAGTGAAACAAGATACATGTTGAGGGAAAGGCATCAGTATGAATCCAGTACTTACAAATTTGGAGTTTCCACCCACCAATTTTTTATAAAAAATTGAAGGAACGAAGAGTCTTCTGCATTTCTTCTGCAGATTTGGCCAAAACTGGCCAATAAATTTAGGAAGGAGGAGAGGGCTGAGAATAAATAGAAACCAGGCAAACCCACAGTGTGGTGCTCCTTGAGGAGATCAACAGTTCTTGCTAAAGAGTCAGAGCATTGATGACAGCCAAATATTCCAGAATGTTGACACTGTCACACTTGAAGTATAAAACAAGAACCCAATCTTAGAATAGAAATTAAAGTTTGAGGCCCAAGAGACAGAGTGTCCTTATTTACTTAGAGGCAGATGATGCCATGAAAAGTGCACATGATTTGTTTTGCTTTTTAATCCCTATGTGAGCTCCCCTAAAAGGCCATGGCTGTAACAGTGATTTTCAGAGGATAACCAGGATCTGAAGGGTCTCTGGAATGAAGTGCACCTTGCTCAGGGATGTGCCATGTACTCTCTCCAGGTACAGAGCTGGCTGTCTTCGAGCTGGTGGAGAAACTCTTCCAGGGCCAGCTAGTGCTGAGGACGAGGTGCTTGGAGTGCGAGTGCTTCACGGAAAGGAGGGAAGATTTTCAGGACATCAGTGTCCCAGTGCAAGAAGATGAACTTGCTAAAAGCGAAGAGAGTTCTGAAAGTAAGTAATTCCCTCAAAAAAAGGGTTGGGAGTTGTGTTCCTGCCTCAGCCAGCCGTGGGGAAGGGACAGTGCTGCAATTAGGAACATGGCTCTTGTTTGTGCTGGCTAAAATTAGAGGCTTTATCTCTTGTCCTGATTAACTTTAGACTTTGGAAACACGGTGCTGATAATATTGACAGATTCAGATAATATTCAAATTGTTTCAGATCTTAACATGTAGCATGGACTGCCCACAATCCATCACTTAGGCACCTGTTTTCCTGCTTATGATTAGGTATTTCCTTTGATTTGAGTCTTCTTTTTTCTTCCTTCATAAGAAATTTTGCTTTTTCTTCTTTTTATAAGAGATACCTGCATTTTTTTTCTTAGAAATAAAAGAAACAAGAATCCAGCTTTTTTTCTTAGTTACTCCAAAAAAAATTAGTATTTGATTGTTGTTACCTTAATAACATTCATATTTTGTTTGTAAATGTTAGTCATGTGGTCTCTTTCACAAATTTTATTGATCTATATGCAGTTTTTAGCTATTTTCAAAAGGAAGCGTGGCAAAAACACATCTTGAAATTCAGTATTTTAAGGGAATTAATTTTAGTTGCCATGGGCTTAATTTGGAGCAGCTTTTCCTGCTTTTGCTCCCCATTTTGTTGAAGGATTCAGAGGAAAATGTGTGGAGTGATGTTCCTATGTGAAGTGCTGCAGACAGCGGGCAATCCTGTCAGCAGTGTGAGGGTGGCAGGGGAGGCAAAATGCAAGAAGTGAGAGGGAACTTTCTGGTTATTTTGGGGGTTTGCCTTAATAAGTGAAATTCTGGTCTCATACAAGCTCTCCATTTGCAGACATGGCAACAAAATTGTGTGATCTGAAACGAGCTTTGGAAAAATCCTATTTTTGAGTAATGATATCCATTAAGTGATGTTTTCATCCCTTCCTGAAATGCTCCAAAGATGGGAACACATCACATGTTTTGCACATACTGAGTGTTCTTTGCAGTGTTGCAGGTTTGGAGTGGTCTGAACTTGACATATTTTGTTTTGTTGCTTTTCTGGCGGGATGTAAATATTGGCATACCCGTGAACACAGCGATTCTCTTTTCTAGTTTCTCCAGAGCCAAAAACAGAAATGAAGACTCTGAAATGGGCAATTTCCCAGTTTGCCTCAGTGGAGAGGATTGTGGGAGAGGACAAGTATTTCTGTGAGAACTGCCACCACTACACGGAGGCCGAGCGCAGCCTTTTGTTCGATAAAATGCCCGAAGTGATCACAATTCACTTGAAGTGCTTTGCTGCCAGTGGCTTGGAGTGAGTATGCATTGCCTGTCTTACCAAACAGGGTCCTGCAGCAAGGGAGATCTTATCCCAAGAGCTGGAAATGTTTTGGAACTTTTCCAGATGATTTCCAGATTGGAATTAAGTCACTGGGATGCTGCCCCCAATGCCATAAAGGCTTTGTGTTGTTCCATGTAGTGGCAGAAATTACCTGCAGAAAAATTGACTTTTAGAAGACTCCTTAACAAAAGCTTTTTAGCTCTACTCTTAGAACAACCTGATATTTCTTAAAATTTTATTTACTTTAAATATCCCCGTATTTAAGTGGATATTTTAAGTTTACGTAAATAAAGTTCAGAGGCAGCTTTAAGTGCTTTACCAGAACAAGTAATGAGAACAAACCTGCATTTTATGGTCAGAGGTTGTCTCTGCCCGAGTGTGAGTGAGGAAAAAGAAATAATCAGGAGATACACATTTTAAAGAGCTAGCACTCATTACCCCAGAATTGACAAATTCCTTCAGAAATACTTTGGTCTCTACTTGAATGTGAACACTAAAATTTGGGGGAAATAAATCATCAGATAAACATTTTAAAGGGCTAATACACCCCCTAAAAAAAATCAATTACTTTAGTAAGTAAGTATCAGCATCATTGATATTCAATTACTGAGTAATCAGTATTATAATTGTAGCAATCCTTAGTTTTGAAAGAGGTTGTGGGAGTGTTCTTTACCTTTTTTTTTCAATACTTAAGAATTTATTTGGGATGAGAGGAAGCAAAGAAAAATCTGTCTCTGCAAAGTCTTTCCATACAAGTCCAGGATCATAACCTACAAAATTGTCTTTTCATTGATCTCCACAGTATTTACTTAAATACTGATTTGTATATACTGACTTCCAGCTGCAAACTTAAAAATCATCACAGTTGAGCAAGAAACATGAGAATTACCTTCCATTTGCTCCTGTATTTCCTATTCTCTTGTTTCCATGAGGAAGGACCTGCAGTTAATCAACTCTCTCCTGCCTCACTCACCTCTTCTGTCCTGGCCAGCTTCAGTTTCTTACTCCAGAACACTCAGACCAATTTCCAGGTCAGAGTGAATCCAATCTCTTTTGGTTTTCCTCCTGTATCCTCTCAATCACTCCATAAATTTTCTGCCAGGGGCTACCAGTCAGAGATTAAGGAAGTCAAGAGTGGAAAACCTGACATAGAAACCTGTGATGAAGCTGAAACTCCTTCAAAGAGTTTCTTGATTTTGGGGTTGGATGTTCTATTTTGGGCAAGACCCTGTCATTGCTAAAAGCAGTAACTCTTCTACTGGCTTTAAACTTAATTTTTTTAAGATGAGAATCTTCGGACAGCTTTTAGCTCCCACAAAAATTTGGGAATCTGGTCTGCTCAGTTGTGCTCTACTGAGTTCTCTGGTGACTGGGTTGTAAATAAATGAGAAATGAAGGGTACTGTTGTAAATATTTGCAGTTAATAGGGATTTTATTCATCTTTTCTAGATGCTGCTTTGCAAAGTGTTTTGTTTTAAAATAAAGCAGCCGGTGTGAAAATCTCCTTGCCTGGGGAGGAGTAATTCTCTTTGGCAAGTGTGTGTGTGGGGAAAAATGCCAGGCCATGTGTGAACAGGCTGTGAAGCTGTTCAGAAGGAATTTGTTAACTGGTAACATGTAGTTAAGCGTTTCCACTATACAAATTTAACAATCTCTGAGAAAATCAGTTTTTTGTCTTGTGAAATTCAGTGCAGTGGGTAAAATGTTACTAATTTATGGTCTCAAAAGATGTGGCTGCAGAAATCAGGTTTGCTATGTTTGAAGTGCATCAGTCAGAGCAGGCAGAGTACTTGGCATGCAATTTTTCTGTCTTCAGATTCTTATGATTAAGAAGAACAAAAAGCTAATAGGAAAAGATTTCCTCTCTTATTTCCTCCTCTCCAAATCTTTCTGATGCTGGATGTCATTGAGAAGAAAGGTAGAGCCTGCTTTTTCCTGTTTTCTGTCAATTTGGTTGTCCCAGTGTGCTTGAGTGGAACTGGATTTCTAATCCAGGCTATCAGCCAGCAGTTCTGTGTTTCTTGACTCTCTTCTGAATATCTCTATTTCTGGCTGCCGACAATAGGGATTTTCAGAAGATTTGTGTTATTTCTGATTCTATGCTCTTGTGTGTTGCTTTTTGTGGAGTGAAATGTGTATGGTGAGAAAGGTCTGAAAGGGAGGTTTCACTGAATTGGAGTGACTGAGGATCTGTGTGTGTGTGTCACTGTTTATTTCTGTGTATCAGAATTCATGGCTCAGAACAAGAGTGAAGCAGAACCAAAATTAAATCCAGGAAAACAATAATCAGTTACTGCAGTTATGCCATGGCTGCAGTTTCCTTGGATTTAAGAGTTAGATTTTCCTAGGATAAGAGCAGTGAGCTCTTAGCAACCTCCGTTTTACAGGCCTTGTCTGTACTCCCCAGTATTTTTCCCTACAACACCCTCACAGTTGAGCAAGACTGAGTCATGCCTGGAATTTATCAGGACATCACAACCTATTGTTAAATAAAGGGGTTAATTGATCTGGGCTGATGCAATGTGTAAGTCATCAAGAGCAGAATCATTCAAGGAGGCTGATGCACAATAATGAAATCCCAACACTGCCTTTATCTCCGAACTCTGTAGAAGATCCTTAAAATGAAAGGACTTCTTCTCTCCTGGTAAATTTGTGTCAACAAAAATCTGAGTATTTATAGAACACTAGAGGCTTTTCCAAAGTAAATTAGCTACAGAATTGTTTGAAAAATTGGAATACCATAGGACAGCTTAGTGAAGAATCCCAGGTGAGCACCACTGGCACAGCTACAGTGCACACTGAGGGGAGCTGAGGAAAATTAGTCACAATCTCTGAGTGATATTAAAGATACTTGAAAGTAAAATAGTAATGCTTTATTTAGTAAATGACTCAGGAGGAGAAGAAAACAAACCCAGCCTTGCTTGGTTCAACCTTGGCTGTTGAAGAGGTTTTTGGTTTGTTTTTGAACAGGATGGTGAGAGAAAGAAAGGAGTGGTAACAATCAGCTGAACTTTTATCATCACTACTTAAAAATTCTCTTTAGCTGATACTTTAGAAAAAAGAGATATCTGAAATCGTTAAAATTCAGAGTTTCTGGGCTGTAAGATTTAACATCAGTCATAAAAATGCCTTTCCTGACTGGGGGTGCTTGGGATGCTGGTGCTGAGCCAGGGGAGCAGGGAGCAGTTCCCATCATCCGTACCTTTGAGGAGGAAGGATATGGATGCACCTCTGGGCCACCTCAAGTGGCTTTTGGGAGGTGCTGTGGCCCGAGGTGTAAGCTGTGTGTCCCTTGCCAGGTTTGACTGCTACGGGGGCCTGTCCAAGATCAACACCCCTCTGCTGACACCCCTGAGGCTGTCCCTGGAGGAGTGGAGCACCCGGCCCACCAACGACACCTACGGGCTCTTCGCCGTGGTCATGCACAGCGGCATCACCATCAGCAGCGGCCACTACACGGCCTCGGTGAAGGTCACAGACCTGCAGAGCCTGGAGCTGGACAGGGGCAACTTCCTGCCCGAGCCGGGCTACGCCGCGCTCAAGCCGGAGCCGCTGACCGAGGAGGAGGCGCGGGCCGTGGCCGAGGACTACGACGATGGCGAGGTCTCCTTCAGGCTCAACGGCGCCGCAGCCCCGGGCAAGGTGCTCAGCAAGAAGAACATGGAGCCCGTGGGACTGCTCGGGGGGCAGAAGAGCAAGGCTGACTGTGAGCTGTGTGCCAGCAAACAGCCCAACCCCGAGAAGCTCCTGAGCGTGGCTCCCGAGCCCCGCAGCGCCGAGCCCAGCGCCGAGCCCGGGCCCGAGCAGGGCGAGCCCCCGGGGCTGGGAGCCGGCGGACTGGAGAACAAAGCGCTCTACGTGCTCCAGAGCCTCAAGGAGTACGAGGGGAAGTGGCTGCTCTTTGATGATTCCGAAGTGAAGGTCACTGAGGAAAAGGACTTTCTGAATTCTCTTTCTCCGACATCATCATCGACATCGACTCCGTACCTACTGTTTTATAAGAAAATTGTAGAGTGATGCTGTACTTGGACTGTAAATATTCGGGATTTGCATACACCTCTCTGATTGCATCCAAACTACCTGGAAGGAACAGCTGTTTGTTTTTTGAAGCTACTGATTCTTCATCTTTCTGGTCTTTTTTTTTTTTTTTTTTTTTTTTTCCTTCGGTGTCAAGTGGCTCGACTTGAATTAACGAAACACGGCATAGGACTTGACTCACACCATAACTTTTCTGCTGGAGATTTTTTCTCTCCTTCGGTGTCAAGTGGCTCGACTTGAATTAACGAAACACGGCATAGGACTTGACTCACACCATAACTTTTCTGCTGGAGAATAGTGCTCTGACCTTTTAGAAATACCAGTTTGTATAGATTCTAAACGATGCCTACAGCACCCGTAGTGGTTTTAATGCAGCTCTAGGTCTCAGACATGCCTATTGTATTATTAGCTTTTATTTTCTTTTTTTTCTTCCTTTTTTTTTCTTTTTTTTTTAAATAAAAGTTATTTGTATTCATACCTTGGAGTTAATGTATATTAACTAGCAAATTTCATCAGAAGTTGTGTATTTTTGTAACTTGGGAAGTAACATTTCATATCTAGTCTTTGGGTAAGGGACGTGGTTTATTCTCCTGCTCCAGTTCTTCCCTGTTTCTTGTAAGTTGAAGCACAGGAAAAGGGTCTGGGAACCTTGTCCAGAGCATTGGAGGGAACTGAATTCATGGAAGTGTTTGACTGGTCTAATCTGCATCTTGTTAATGAGCAAAGTGTAAATAGGTGTGATTAATCCTTCAAACCAGAGGCAGAGTGTAGTGTAATTAAAATAATTTTGTACTTTGAAGAGTGAAGCCCTCGAATCTGCATCTCTGTTTGGGTTGGTTGGGAACTTAGTGGTGACCTAAAGTTAATTTGTACCTGGAGCTCACTGAAACGTGGGGGAAAAGGAGAGTATTTGGCTTTGATGCTTTGTTGAGAATGTACATATGAAATAAAAAAGTTATGATCTGCATCTGAGACAAGCAGCTCAGCCTGTTGTGTTTGGAGAGGGGAAAGCAGAAAGGGAAAGGGTCTTGGGAACACTTTCAGAAAGGCTGGGAAATTATCTTAAAGAATTAAAGTGCTTTTAGAATTCATTCTGTGGTTCCTAGCTGGTTCTTGGGACGTATCTCCTAATTTGAAGGTACAGGGGGGAGGTTAAGGGGAAACATTGCAAAACCAAAAACATTTGCCACTAAATACTAGAGATGAAAATCCCAAATTGTCTGTCAGAAAATAGAAGCTGACTCCTTCAAACTGATAATTAAAATCCTAACAAATATGACTGGAAAAAGGGGACTGTTCAGTCTGTCCCAGGATGGATGGAATGACATCAAGTGTTATGCAGGCTCTCAGTATGCACTGGATATATTTAACTTTTTTCCACTACAAATTAATTTATTTACAGGAAAACCCCTAAAAACCTCTGCCTAGTTAGTTCTGTAATGCTTAATTTTTACTACCTTTTATTATAATTTTGTATAAACACAGAGGGTAAGTCAGGAAAAATCTCTTTCAGTGTATTTTCCATGTTAAATTTGACCTCTGATTGTTGTGCAGGCCTTGATTTCGCAGCATAAAAAATCTGCAATGACAAAACACACTTTCCCTTTTCCAAAGCATTGCACCATGATAATAAATAATTTCAGAGTCTAAACCAAGAAAAAGCTACATTACAAAAATATCAGTAATCTTACCTTGTAAGGGCAGCCCAATCCCATTACAGAATGCCATTTTTTAGGCTTTGCTGAATTTCAGCCTGCAAATGAAAGTTTATTTTTCCACACCTGGTGCAAGACTTCATCTTTTTCATTCAACTGCAGCATCAGGAATGTTCCAAGGAAACAAAATACCATTATTTACACCAAAATAGGATGTAAGAAAACCCAGCTGCCTTCCATCATCCCAGTACAACTTGGGAGGAGATTCTTTGTGGCAGCTGAAGAGAAAACAGCCTCAGCTGGAAGAGGCTGAATGAAAACCCCGCCTCTGGCACAGGGAGAGGGACTGGGGGTGGATTTTTGGGATATTCACTCAAGCACCACTTGCCAAGCCCCTGAACTTGTTGTTTGTAACTCCTGTCCTGGAGCAGGACCGCTGTAAATTAAAGTTTCATCCTTGCATGGCTCCCAGGATTTGTTTGCTCTGTGTAAATATTTTTAATGCCTCTTCCTGTAAATCTCTTCCAAAGCCGTTCCTCCTTCCTTAATATTTTCCATTCTGAGATTCCCTGACTCTTGTAGCACCTCCAAGGCCTTGTCAACACCCCTTGGAACATCCATGAAAAGGTTGGAGTTTTCTTTCTGCAGGAAAATCCATGCAGGTGTTCCAGTGTTGTACCCCATAACACAGAACCAATTCAGGATTTTTCTGTTCCAGGGAACCTTTCAGAGCCTGGCACACAAAACACCACCACTGTGGAGCTGTTGGGATAACAGAGCATGGGAGAAGTCTCCAATAACCTAAAATAAGTATCAGGAATTTAAAAAAAAAAAACCCTCCCCACCCTAAACCTTCAGTGCTGCTGCAGAAGGGGGGCACTTCACGTATAAACCCATTTTTCCTTCTATTTTTATATATTTTATACATATGTTTATCGAATTCAGGTTTTGTGTGTATATCTTTTTTTATGCATATTTAGGTGTTTATGGAGAGAGAATAAATGTGTTTAATCACACACCACCTCTACCAGGAGACTTTGTTCACGACAGAGAGGGAAAATATTAAGGACAAGATTTAGGAGTTGTGGACTCAGCTCCAAATCTGCTATTTCCTCAAAGTGCTCTGTTAGACCCCAGAATCTCTGCTGTAAAACACATCTTTCTCCACATAAACAGCAATGCAAAGAATGTTTTGTACCCTTTTTAACTGTGATACCATTTTAGGTTCTTTTACCCTGTGAACTTAGGCTTTTAATTAAAAAATGGACATAAAATCAGTTTAGTTCCATGGACAGTGCTAATTCCAAGGGGTGAGGAGATGCTGGGACCTCCCAGCTGGTGGAGATGTCCATGAACAAGTGAAGCTGAAACTTCACCTGATGGACTGAAGGAGGGGAAGAAGGTACCAAAGCTGTGCCTCCATCTGCTGCTGGCTACAGGTGGAATTATTTTTTTGTTTGCAGCAAAAGAACAGGGATAATAAACAATCAGCACTTGGTTAATTAATGTTACCATGACTTACCTTGCTCTGAACCTTTTCCCCAAGGATGCTGAGCCCTGAAGTCCAATGCACAGGGAATTAAAGTGTAAACATTCACATATTTAATAGTACCATCAAAATAACCATCAGCATCATCACTACATTAAAAACTTCCAAAATGCATTTGCGTATGGTCCTAATATAAATTAAATATAGGAACTAAAAGTAAAATAAATTTAACATTAGGTAATGCTATAAATAAAGGTAAATGCGTTTAGTGTACCTTTGAGTCATAAAAATGCCTTAAAAAACAGGTAAGTTTACAGCTCATCACCAATACTCTGGATACCACTGCCATGATGGTTTGTTTTTTTTCTTTTCAAACATTGAGAAGTCTACATTTGACAATTCAGAATGATTTTTTTGGCCACTGAACACTTTGATGGAGGAAGAGGTGGGTGGGATGTCCAGGATGAAGTCCAAGTTTTATTTCACAATAAAACTTCTTTGATTCCCAGCGCTGATAACAAGGCTCTTTTTCTTTTCAAAACCTTAATTTTTTAAGTGCTTTTTTTTTTTTATTTTGGTTTTTAACTCGTTTAGATTTCCATTTTGCGAAGGCTCATCCTGCTGAAGGAGTCTCTGAGGGAGAGAAAATACAATGATGAACTCAGATTTTCCATGGTGAAATAAGAAGCCTCACCAGATGAATGATTCTGAATTGATTTCCAGTATTTCCTAGAGCTGGTTACAACGAAAATTAAGTCCACTGGAATTAAAACTCGTTGGTTCTCCAAGGAATTTGGTTTGGGTTTGTATCTGGGATCATCCAGAACACTGACAGAAAGTTTAATTCCTGTGTACACACAGAAGCAGCACAAACCACCTGCACGACTGAAATCTTATTTAAATCTTTCAAACACATCCCTGAAGTGGAATTTGCCAGGAACACTTGGGAGTTGGACTCGATGATCCTTGTGGGATCCTTCCAACTCAGGATATTCCATGATTTTCAGGATATTTTATGTCCTACCTGTATTAAGCTCCCTGCACAGGAAGATCAGATAATAATTACCACACCAAAAGCATTTGTAGGGCTCCTGGCTGGGTGGGGAGGGAAGCTCTGGTATTCTCACCATGCCAGACAGGAAAATTTGCCAGGAAACAGCTGGGACACAGAGCTGGGGATAACAGAGCATCCCAAAGCTGGGCAGGGAGGGAAGGGCACCTTCCTGCAGCACTCACAGCCAGAAACCCCCTCAGGTCAGCTCCAGGAACATCCAGCCCTGCCCTGCTGCCAGGGAACTCCACAGCAGTCACAGATTCCCTGGAGAGTTCCTGCTGGGAACCACTCCTGTCCCTGTTCTGGGAGCCACAGCCTGGCTGGAAATTGGCTGTACCCAAAATCCCCCTGCTCATCCATGATCTGCACATGGAGGTTTTGGTCACCCCATCCCTGGAATTTTTCCAGGTTGGAGCACCCTGCTCTGGAAGAAGGGGTGGGACTGGATGATGTTTAGGATCTTTCCAACCTAAACCCTTCTGTGATCCTGTGATTCCCACTGGGATTTTTATGTCCTGTCTCACATAAAGCCCAATCTCCAGCTTCCTGCTCTTCCAGCACGAAGACACCAACAATTTTTCCTCATCCCAGTTTCATTAGGAATGAAGTCCTGCCACGCTGAGGGTGGTGTTGCATCCAAAAAAAACGAGATGCAGGATGGAAACAAATACAAAACCCAACTGTCCTAGCTAGGGAACAAAAGGAACATTGCAACCACCACGTACCACAGCTGCTGGGAAGGGAATGAGCTCTCAGGAGGGACAGAAGGGAAAAGGGACGGGCGCGGCCAGGAGAGCCAGGACTGAAAACAAACGGATGGTGCAGGGAAGTTCAGACCCCCAAGTTCCACACCCTGTGCCCCGAGAGGAACCCCAAATATGCACCTGTGGCACGTGACAGGCAGCACTGCCTTGTAGAGCTGTGGGATCTTCCTGTTGATCAGGGGCTGCAGAGCCTCCTTGAGCCGGTGGTAGTTGCGCTCCAGCTCCCGCTGATATTCCTTCTGGTCCGGCCCGATCAGGCTCTTGTTCTTCCTCAGGGCATCCTCACACCTGCAAAACAAGCCCTGTGAGAGCTGGGCATGCACTAACACCCCCTGCTACAGGTTTGTTAATCCAACACTATAGAAACATCCATTCTGCCCCTCTGGGATCACAGGGAATATCCTTTATCTTGTCTCAAGGCTCAGCGGAACCACCTGGTGTCCAGGGGGCAAGGAGAGGGTGTCACATCTCCAATTTCCAGAGTGGCAACTCCTTTTTTATTGTCATTTACTCTCCAGTGACATTTATCCTCTCTGAAGAGAAATGAAAAGCTCATTTCCACAGAGCCACTTCCAATCCCAGAGGATTTAAAGATGGATAGAATCAGGAGAGATTAATAAACAGCAGCCTGGGATGTTCATCAGGAACTCTTCTGCTTGCAAAGATATAATTTAAATAAAAGAGAGGAAAATAACTGTATCAGTAAATCCATTTATTTCACAGGGGAAAACTAAGCTTCCACTGGATCTATTTGCTCACAGCATTTTAATTTCAATTATTTTGATAGTTTTTTAAAATTTCTTGATGCTGTAGAAGATGCTGGACTGAGCCTGCAGTTTGCATGACTCAAGCAAAGTAGAGCAGCCAGTACATTTATTTAAGGAATTGTGCCAGCATCCCTCCACTCTGGAGAAATTCACTTCAGAAGGAAATTTCATGTCCTGGCCAGTACAGCAGCTCCTCCTGACCCTGCCAGGCTGAGAGTTCTGGCCTGTTGTGATTTCTGGGACACTTTACAACAGAGCTGGGATCAATTCCTTCCTGATAAACTGCAAGGCCCTTGAAGCCACAGAGCAGCAGCACCAACTGGGAAGGGTGAGCAGGTGAGGAATGAGCTACAGGTGGAACCTGGGACACCAGGACAGCCCTGGGTCCCTGCACATGTCCCTGCCTGGGGTGGCAGCAGCCACTGTCCCTGGCAGGTGCCCTGGGGACCCTTTCCATACCTTTTTGTGAAGTCCTTGAAACAGAGGCGGAGTTTGTTGTGGTGCCTGAAGAGCTTTGGATCGTTGGGGATTTCAGACAAGAAAACTTGTGCAACTTCTAATGGTCCCTTTAGGAGAAGAAGGGGTACAGTGAGTCTCTGGGAACTGTCTGTCATATCCAGTCACTGGAGAAAGTTCAGCCACATAGAAAACATCCACAAAACACAACATTTCTTTACACAAAGCATCCTGAAGAACTGCAGCTGGGAAATCTGGTGTAAATCACCAACCTCACTGACAACCGAGTCTCCTTAAAGCCTTGCTTTGTTTTATTTAAAACTCTGCTTTTGGAAAACAGTGTGAGAAACTGCACAGATTCTCCATTTGTTTTCCTTTATAAGGACTCCTGACAAAGTTTGCTCAACTCACAACTGAGGCAAAGTTTAAACAATGCAGATGGAAGCCAGGGAGTGTTTGCCAGCACTGCAAACTCAACCCAGCACTCAGAACTCCAGTAGATTTTTTATTTCCAGCTTGTGCACTGTGCTCTACTCAGGCTCCTTCAGTTTTCCCTCAGTTTTTCTCCACTGCTTTGCTTTTTGGTGAAAATCCACAGCAGGACACAATCCTGCAGAGCCTGGCTAACAAAGGGAAACTTTTAGGGAAGAGGAGTAGGCAGAAACAACTGCAAGTACCAGAAGGAGCAGTAACTGAGGAAGGGATACGTCTTCCCAGCCTCTTCCCACATTTTCAAGGCTCTTACTCAAATACCAAAATCAGTGGGAACAGCTGGCTTAGATCTACTAATAACCTTAAACATATCCCACAGACTGAACAGGGAAAAAACTCCAAGGGAATTGAGAAACAAGGCCCAAGGCTGTGCATTTCCAGCTGGGACAGCGATCCTCACCTGATTCACTGTGGTACCTACTGATCCCTGCAGCACCATCTGCAGCATCTTGGGGTCTGCAGGGTCTTGGTGGGTGGCAAAAGCCAATTCTTGTGTTTTCTTCTGCATGTCCTCGATGGCGACTTCAATGGGAGTCAAAATGATCTAAGTAAGAAGCCAAAACAGGATTTTTGTTATGGCTGAGCCTGGCAAGCAGGCACAGACCTTCAGGAGCACCCAGGTCACAGTGGGGTGGTGCCACACCAACAGGACTGACAGGACTCCAGAAATGCATTGTCTTGGTTCAGTGACAGCAAGAAAAGGTTTGATTTTTGGATGTTTCTGGGCATTCCAGAGCTGTCTATGTGGCACTCGTGTCCCTTTGGGTCCTGCAGGGCTGCAGCACTGCCAGTCCCTGAGCACTGCTCACAGCATCCCAGTGACCACATCTGACCCTGCCCACCCTTTTAAGTTAACAAACCTCCATTACCACGGAATCATGGAATGGCTGGGTGGGAAGGAACCTTAAAGCTCATCCCATCCCCACAGGCAGGGCACCTTCCCTAGAACAGACTGCTCCAACACCAAGATCCATCCCTAAACCAGTTTGGGTTGAATGAGAATTCCCTACGACCTCCTAAGCTCCTAAGTCAAGCTGGAGCTAAAGGAGCCTCCAGCCCCGCCAGGCACCATTTCCCAGCCAGCTCCAGCCTCACCTCCTCCTTGTGGATGACGTTGATCCTGGTTTTGATGTAGGGGAAGGCGTGGGAGGTGGTGAGGATGGTCTTGCGCTTGAACTGCTCGTGCAGGTCGCCGTGGGCGCGGCCGTCCAGCGTGAAGGGCGTGCAGTACATGAAGCGCCGCAGGTTGTAGTTCTTGTCGAAGTACGTGATCCTGTCCTTCATCTCATACGTGTCAAAGTAGGGCTCCACGTAGGTGATCTGGATGTAGGCCTGCAGGGGCAGCAGGGAATGTGCTCCTCAGCTGCACTGTGCCAGCTGGATCTGTGTCCTCCCAGCATCAGCACTGCACTAATCAGGGTTGGGTTTTGCCTTTGAAAATCCTGCTCACACTGGAGGGACCGAGGTGGTCCCAGCTGGATCTGTGTCCTCCCAGTGCCACCACTGCACCAACCACGTTGGGTTTTGCCTTTAAAAATCCCAGTCACGCTGGAGGGACTGAGGTGCTGCCACCAGTTTGTGGGCTGGGTAAAGCTCACAGCTTGCTGTCCTTCCCTTCCCATGCCTTTCACTCCATGGAATTATGGAATGATTTGGGTGGTGGGACCTTAAGAGTCCATCCGGTCCACCCCTACCACAGGCAGGGACAACTTCCCGAAAACCAGGCTGCTCTTCATGTACAAACTCATTTTTCCTTCTAATTTATATATATATATAAAGAGTATGTTTATCAAATTCAGATTTTGTTTATATCTGCTTTTTAATGCATATTTAGGTATTTATGGAGAGAGAATAAATGTGTTTAATCACATACCACCTCTTCCAGGGGGCTTTGTTCACCACAGAGAGGGAAAATATTAAGGACAGGGGATATATTAAGGAATAAGAGAAATATTAAGGACTTCTAGGGATCCAGAGGCAGCCACAGCTTCTCTGGGCAGTCTGTGCCAGGGCCTCACCACCTCACAAAGAATTTCTCTCCAATATCCAATCTAAATCCTTCCCTGCAGGTCCTGCCCTGCCCTGAGCCACAGCCCTGTTTCCCAGGCCTGCTCCTGCTCTTTGTGCTACATTTAAAGGACATGGCACAAAGGTGATAAAATGCTGCAGCTGCACAAAAGCCAGGGTATGAATGGCACAGCCTTTCTTTCCTTGCACCCAGCAGAGCAAAGCCAGCACAGCCTCTGTCCTTTCACCTCCTCCCTTCCCACCCACCACTACCAGGGCAGAGATGGGAGTGACCAATTCTGCATCCCTTGCTGGAATTATTTTCCCAAACTCTCCTCCCAGGCAGCCACAAGATGCTCAGTATGTGGATTTTCTTGCCCACGTGGTGAAATTCAGGGAAGAATTTGTCCCACTGCATTTTCACCCATTCAGGACCTGTTCTACTTCTGCAGCTGCACTTGTGCCCTTACCTTGTTGGGATCAAGTTTACATTTGTCCACAGGGTTTGAGTCCTTGATCACCTCCAGGACATCTTCCCCAAACCGTTCTCCATAAAACCCCTACAACCAAGGAGAAAGGAACTGAGAGCAAACATCAAATGCAGCCCTGATGGGGGCTGGGGGGCAAAGGCACATTCAGGGAAAGTGAAGCTCCACATGCCTTTGGCAGAATGTGATCTGCTGAACCCAGGAGAATTCCAACAGTCACATTCCAGGGGCAATGGGAAAAACAAGCCCTGGAAAGCAGGAGAGCCTTCCAACAGTGCGTGGTTCTGAACGAGGCATTTGGGTTTGTTTTGTTTGATTGTGGCTGTGTGCAACTCAAACGGGTCAGTTCGGGATCCACTGGTGTTGGAAATGACAGAATGTTTAAATTTTCGTTAATGATTTTAATTAACATTTAAATTAACTGTTTTAATCATAACTTATATATATTAATTATAAATACTGTGTTATTCTTAGATTACTCTTAGCCAGCATTTAGCAATGCTGTCATAACCTACTTTTGTGGGAGCACAGCCTGGGAAAATTAATGAAGCTTTAAGTTTTGATAAACCAACTCTGCTGTGCTTCAATGAACAAAGCCTGGGAGAGAGATGGACTGTTGAGATTGGACATCTGGAATGCAGAATTTATGGACCACAAGGACTTTTTGGAGAAACCAGAAGATAGAGAAGAGGGTAACAAAGATTCAATCTAGGCCTTGGAAAGACCCTAATGGAGGAAAAAGATAATGGGAACATCATAAATTCTCAGGGAGAGCCTCTCCTTGATCAGGGAATTCCTCTCCTCCTGCAGGGGACACCCAAACTGCTTTTCTAAGGGGCTGTTCCTGTGAAACAACTGAGGAAAGCACTTAAACGTCCAGTGAAACCCTCTCACCTCCAGCCGATGGGAGATTTCAGCCAATTTGGTTATTGCAGGCTCCTTGTAAACAAACTCTTGCTCATCCAGGTCTCCAAACTTAGTTCCATAAAAACCAACTCGGAAGTAGGTGCCAAACATCCTCTTTCCATCCTAGGGATGGAGAAACAAGAGGTTATTTCAGGGTGGAGACACACACACCCCCAAGCACGGCTGCAGGCAGGCTCCTGAATTTATGCAAAATGAAAAGAAATTTAAAAACAAGGGAAAAAATTAGAAAGAAAGAAAGAAAAGAAAGGAAAAAAAACCACACCTGGAACTCAGCATGGATGCATTTAGCAGCAAACACCACAATGGAATTAAAAACTAACATGGAATTCTATGGATCAGTTAGGACCATTAGCCCAACCCTGCAATGACTTCTCCCAACCCAGGAGGAGCCTGGAGGTGCCATCATGGAATTATGGAATGGTTTGGGTTGGGAGGGACCTTAAAGCCCATCCAGTGCCACCCCTGCCATGGCAGGGACACCTCCCACTGTCCCAGGTGGCTCCAAGCCCCATCCAACCTGGCCTTGGACAAGGGATCCAGGGGCAGCCACAGCTTCTCTGGGAACTTGAGACTCACCACTCTCACAGGGAAGAATTCATTCCCAATATCCCATTTGAATCCATTCTCTTTCAGTTAAAGAAGCATCAGATGTCTCTGAGAGGCAGCCAAAGGCAAATCCCTTTGTTGGGATCATTATTTGAGGTTCTCCAAAGTCTGTGCAGAGACCCTGCAGGGTCAGACACCCCTGGAATCACCCAGCATCGATTGCCCCCAAATCCACCCTCCAGGAATTGCAGGGTTGGGCCCCAGTCAATGTCCAGTTCACTCACACACACACACAAGTGCTTTTGAACCAGCATTCCAGCTGGGAGGTGTTACACTCTCTAGGAACTGTCTAGGAGAGAGGGCCAAAGTCACTCCTGGTGAAAGCAGATGCAATCCTGTGCCATGTACCTGCTTCCAGGGGAGCCAGTGGTGAATTTGGCCCCAAAACGCAACAAAAGTAGAGAAACAAGAAAGATTTTTTGCTGGAAAGGCAACGGAGAAAATCTGATTAAGAGAGAAAGAGAGAGAGAGAGAAGAAAAATGCTTTAAAAATTAAACACACCTTGCTTTTGTTAAAGAACTCACGCTGCATGCACAAACCAGGGATGCCTTTCAGCAAGAAACTCCAAAATGTTCACCTTTACTCTCATGACAAAGTGTGATGCAGTTTAGGACACTCAGTGTCCCTGAGCTGGGTTAGATTTTGGCTTCAAACAGCCCTTACAGGTGTCCTGACTGCCAGGTTTTATTTTAGTACTTTGCTATGGCAAAACTGATCTCTTGTGGTGCTGGTGAACACGATCTATGGAAGGCAAAGAGGATAAATAAGCCACACTAGAATAAAAAAAAATCCCTTCAGGCAAACTCCAGACTGCAAAAAGCACTGGCATGGCCACTGTCTTCTCCTGGCTGGAGGAAACTCTGGAGCATCCCCCTGGAGGTGCCTGAGGGCCAAAAATTTCCACTTCAGTGCTGAGTTCTGTCCTCCTGAAGACACCTGGGGTGAGTAGCAGCCCTCATCCCAAAAAAGCAACACTTGGCTGTGCCCAGGTTCCCTGGACCCTGCTCTAGAGCCTGTCCCTCTGGGAATCCTCCTGCAGAGAAGGGCACTGCTCCAGCCCCACTGCCAGGGCTTCCATCACACACAGGATCCCAGCAGCACTCCCAGGTGGGAGCTCCAGCTGCAGAGCTGTTGCTGTTTCACTGGATGTTGCCATTTCCCTGGACTCCCTGTCTTTGTCCAGTGCCCAGCCCTCTGCATCCATGCAGGATTGAGCTGCTGGACCAGTTTTCCCTCACCACTATCTTTTCAAAGCCAGAGTTTTGGGTAACGTTATCCACACTAAAATCCCTCAGCATTTCCAGCTTCCATCTCACTGTCACAGACAGAAGGCTCTGACTCCAGGGCTCCTTTCTCCAAGCCCTTCCCAAGGCAGTGTCTAGTGGAAGGTGGGGTTGGAACCTGATGCTCTTTAAGGTCCTTTCCAACCCAAAGCATTCCACGATTCCCTGTCTGCCAGGGGGAACTGTCACATGGATCAGCTCCTCAGAGCCAGCACAAGGCTTGGCCATGCTCCACGGGGAAGTCTGGGGGATCCTGCCCCTACCCTGGCACAGGGTGGTTGAGGACACTAATTTGATTTCTAATTAATGAGCTTTTCCCTTCCTTCTTGGCCAGGGGTTTCCAGGTGTGAAGCATTTGCAGAACCAGATCCCTACAAGAAGAGTTTCTGCCACGGGCACCTGCCCAGGCAGCTCCCTGTTACAGGCAGGGTAAAAATAATAAGGGAGGAAGGGATTTGCTGTCTGTTGATCAGCATAAATCACTGAGGAGTTCTGCTGCCATTTACTAAATGCAGCAAATAAGAGTTCTGGGGCATTGGGGAGCCCCAGGAGTGGCAGAGCTCCAGGGAAACCTGGTGAGATTCCCTGTCCCTGTGTGAGGTCAGCTCCCAGCTCATTCCCACCCACACCAGCTGTTCTGGCTTTCCCTGGTAAATCCAGATGTTGAGTCTTAGTTGAAAGGATCCCAGAGCCAGCAGTGAGGAGCACTGTCAGCCTCTGATGTGACTCATGCTGGGAATCTGTGCCTGGGAGCAAGGGAATGGGAGCAAATCCCTTTGGGGAAAACACTTCCAGACCACTCCAAGCCTCCCAGGGATATTCAGGAGCTGCCACTTCCCTGGGATCAGCTCCATGCCTGGCATTAGGGACAGGGGATGGCTCTGTACTGGGATCCCTGAAACTCAGCCAACACCAAACCACTTCCCAGCCACAGCAGGGAAAACTGAACAAATAACTTAATGCTCTGTGGTCTTGTTTTTGGCAAGAGCTAAAAATGCAGATATGAGGGAGGAATTATTAAAAGCATTGTATCTCCTATTATTTTATCAAAAAAATAATAGGATTTGGGGAGGAGAAGAGAATGAAGGTGAACACTGAATAGCCATCACACAACTGGCAGAGCAGGTAACAGCCACCATGACTTATGAAGGTTCATGATTTGTTATTATGCATGGTAAATACCTTTCCAAATTGCTGGGAATAAAGTTTTGGGGTTATCTTTTGCACGCACACAAAAAGCTTTGCCAACAAGATTTGAGGCAGGAAAAAAAGATAAATCAGATGCAAGAGGGATCATCTGCTTCCTTCACCAAGACAGCAGCAGCTGCCTGAAGGTGCAGGAACAGAAGCAACTTCAAAATGCAGAATCCAACCCATCTTTACCAAACTCAGCACTGTTATTTTCCTGCTCAATTTTAACCCGAGGTACTTTGCAGTGTTGCCAACTACTACAAGGTTTCCAATATTGATTGTTTGGGAAAGAGTCAGCTCCTGGAGCTCTGTTATCCACTGGCAAGCTCCTCCTGCACAGCTTAAAAAGAGGTTTTGAATTCTCGTGGTGCAGCATGAAAAGATGATTTTTTTTTAACTTTCCCAACTGGAAAGCAAACCAACTAGAATGAATCCAACATTTATTCCATGAATGAACACACAAAGCCCATCAGTTGGTGTGTTTAAGGAGAGCTCAGGAATGCTCTGGTGCCAGACTCAGGACACTGCAATGCTTGTAGTTGGCAGCACCACATTCCTTGTGCCATGAGGGGGGTGCTGCTGTTGGCATAGCTCTTTGCTAAAATGAAATTGGGGGTTCCATAGTGTCAAACAAACAAACAAACAAAAAAAAAATAAAAAAGGGGGGGAGGTGGGGGAAAAAAAGGGGCAGAGAAAGGGAAAAAAATTTCCACAAGTAGGAACTTACCACAACAGACAATAGTAAGAGTGGGGAGGAGGGTCAGCAACCAGGGCGATAGAGGAGAAAACAGAAAGTATTTAATTAGGGAAATTCCATCAAACAAACAAGCAGCAAATTGGCAGCAAATAAATTTTAAAATTAAAAAAAACAAAACAAAACAAAACAAAAAGGGGCGAGCATCCATTAAAATATTTAAAATAAGGGCGGGGAGGAAAGGGCAAAACATGCAACAAACCTGAAAGCTACAAAGCACAAAGGTCAGAAAAAGTGTGGCAATGAAGGAGCACGATGACAGAGAGCTGAACCCACGGTGTCTTTTACCATGCAGTAAAACATGACCAAGTGGTGTTAGAATCATAACCAATGGCAGGAGTCTCTCCAGGGGTCGATTTAGGGGCAGAATAATAAAATAGATGCTCACAGGCCTTGTTAGCTTGAACACATTGACATCATTTGCACACCTAGCACAGGTTCTCTGCTGGGCTGTGTCTGCCTGGACCTTCCATGGGGACAAGGGGATGACTTCCAGGGCCAGCCCTGAAGTGTCAGGGTTTATTTTAAACTGCTCCATTTCCTTTTTTTTTGCTAGGCTGGAATTGAAACTGCCATTCAGACATCACCAGCCCAAATTATGTCCCACAACACCAAAGGGGTTTTTTTGTCTTAGCCTCAGATCAGTAAATGTGTGGTGGAAACCTGGAGGGAGGTGGCCCAAAATGAGCTGCCTGATCCATAGAAAAGCAAAAATAAACTGGAAAGATGAAGCCTATACAAATATCATCATATTCACAGAGCTTTTTAGTGCTTTCTGAGACTCCTCCATGCTCATGCACCCACTGTGCCAACTGGACTAGGGCTGGAGTCAAAGTGGCCCTGCAGATTAATCAATTGCTTTGTCCATTTTTAACCCAAAAGCGTGGTTCTCATGGTGTGTGTTGCAGAACTGTGAGCAGACAGCCTCCTCAAAAACCCAGGCAGCAAAACTGGCCCCAGTTAACACAGCTGAACCCTTCTACTGCCAGATAAATGCCTAAATAAATTGACTGAGAACAGAAGGAAGCAGTTTCTCCTCTGAAATCAAAGGTGCACCTGCAGCAAACCAGGTTTGTGTTTGGTACCTCTGAGCATTGGTGCTTAAATCGACCCCTGTGGGTGGGGTGAAAATATGGTATGGAGGGATGATTTTCTGTGTCAATGCTGATGGAAAGAAATATAAACAAATTATAAAAACAAACTAGTGATGATACAGTGGCTCATTCACCAAAGAACCTCATTAGTGGAACACATCAGCATCCATGCACTACCTACAGCTGCTTATGAAGAAATTCCTACTACAACCACGGTTTATTGGGATTTCTTTGGTTAATGAATTGTTTTAAACAGCAGACAGCAACAGAAATACCCACAACTAGCACATGTGGGCAAGCGTTGGCGTGAGTCATCTGGAAACTCAATTAGTGTTCTTTGCTAACTAAGATGGAGTTACCTACCTCCCAGCCAGTACTCTGTGTGATAAAAAGTAAAAAGGGCATGTCACAGACACCAAAAAAATAAGAGTTTCAAAGGCCAAAACATGACCAGCAATAAGCCTGCAATGGTCTCAATGGTTCTAAGTCATCATGCAGCCAAAGCAGCCTCCTCTGGCCCAGCACAGCCAGGCTCTCACCAGCCCTTAAGCTGGTGGCTTTTGCACCATCCAAGTTTGGAAAGGTTCCTTCAATTCTTTAACCACCACATGAACAAACAAATAAACCCCCCAGCATTTCTGGATGTTACCTACCAGGCTAAAGGCAAGGTACAGTGGGTTTCCCCAGCATGCAAAACACAGTTTAAAAAGAACATCTGAAAGGATAAACTGGAATTTTTAACACCTGCATAGTTGTGAAGTTACAACAAATCTTGGTACATGATGTTCTCTCGTGTTAAATTCCAGAGGAAAAAAAACTGTTAATGATCCTTGTATTTACTGTGGATCATCATTTGACAATTCTTCTGGAATCTAAGAACAATGGTTTTTCATTTTCCTTGCACTGAGCATTTGAAGTTTCTTCACAATTTCACCCTGCAGCTGAAAATTCAAACCATTACCTGGTGAACAATCTTGCTGAATGCTTCCTGCAGTTTACCATGAATTGCAGACAACTTCTTGGCATCTCTGTTGGCTTCATGAATAGGAATAAGGACTTTGTAAACCTCATTAACTGCTTCATACATGCCAGCCTACAAAAATAAGGCCCATCAGATTGCTCCATCAATTCAACAGCCTGCATTACACACACAACATTTAGGTGATAAAACTGCAAAATGAAAAGGTGGCTGAGACAGCACTGCAGGATAATCACATCTTTTCTTAAAATGTACCCAGAAATAAATGGAATAAAATCCTCAGTTACCCCTGAAATCAAGAGCCTGGTGCATTACACCTTGCTGTCAGTAATTAGGATCATTAACACAACCAATCCTAGGATATCCTGGATGGACACAGGCACAAGAACAAAACAGGATCCTAACCAAATGTAGGGGAATTAAATATGGAAAAGCTTAAGTGCACATTTCAGCTTTTTCTGTTAAGCACATCTTCAGCCCATGTGACTTCTGCATCCACTCCTGGCACACCAGGAGAGGTGGATCTTGGAAGATCCCCAGGATCTCTCTCAGGGTCCAGCCCATCATGGGTTGTCACTGCATAGAGTGGCTCAGCAGGAATTCCAGGTTTTCACCCTGAATTTATTGCTGCTTGTGCTTAAGCCCACTGAATGACACTTCATGTTATGTAGTGGGAATTAATTCACTTGTTTTCCTTGGTTGACTCCAGAGGGCAAACCAGGCTGTCTTAAACAATTAAAACTCCAATTGTTCTGTGCAAATTAAGCATTTACAATAGAATTATACACTCAAGAGAAAACATTCTCCTTCCTACTGCCCAGAAGTGTGAGGTTGCTGGAGAAGGGAGGTAAAGAAATGAAAGTCTTCTACCATGGAGAAAGATGCTGCAGCCTGTTCCAGCAATCCCACCAGACCAGCTTCTGTAAAATACTTCCCAGAACAGATTCCTTCTTCATCTGGAGACACAACATCATCTGAAACTGCTGACTCCTCCAAAACATTGGAAGATATGTTCTGGGGAGATGTAAAAGATAAAAATACATTTACTCAATTTAAACAACACTCAACACTTTCAATAGTTTGAAAGGCAGCTGATTTGCAAATTCAAATCCTGGAATTTCTATAGAGTTGCCTTTCTATTTTTGTAGAGTATATATATAAAATATAGCTTTCTGTTTTTGTATATATGTAAAACATTTCCATTTTTGTAGTGTATATATAAAATATATCTATTTTTGTAGAGCATGTGTATAAAATACACATTTCCAATCTCACAGAGCAGCACTTCATTCATGCAACAAACAGTGAGCACGGTTTGAGGATGTAGGCACAGAACTCCCAGCACATGGAAACACTTTGTACCTCAGCAGCAAAGCCCAAAAAACCCCTTGGGGAGGATAATGCCCACCTGAAATGTGACACAGCCCACAGGGAGGTATTTCCTGTCCTCCAGCATGCTCAGGTACTCGGCCACCAGGGCTGCAGAGTGCACCAGGCACTGGGCAGACTCAGCATGGTTGCTCCTCTCGGAATGTTTCCCTGCCATGTTCTGCAGCCACGTCAGCCTCAGGTCAGGGGAGTTCTGGTAGCCCTTGGCAATCCTAAAGGGACAGAAAACCTCTGTGATTCCATGTCCTTTTCTTCTGCACCAGCACAGCCCTTCAGGCTTTTTCACATTGTATTTACTCACTTCTGCTCAAACACCAACCCCCCTCAGTGCTGTCTGGAAATTCCTGGGACAAGAAGCTGTTGAGATGTGAAGCCACCCTGAACTACAGATTTTGGAGCCAGTTGTGGTGGGTGAGCAGTGGGTGATGCTGAAGCTCTTGACCAAAGCCATGTTTCACCTGAGACTGGTGGCAATCCAAAGGTGTGGGACAATCAGAGCACACTTGCCTGGCTCCCTACAACAAAACCTCTGCTGACCACTGTGAAGCCTTCGGGGCCATTTGTGCAGACAGCACCATGAAATTTGGCACTTGAGAGCTTAACCTGGCTCTGGAATATCTTTTACATATGGACACCATTGTATGTAGCACCAAAAAGCCTTTTGGGCAAGCAGGTGCTGGAAGATTCCCAAGTTCTCCCTGAAGCAAGCAGGGAGAGTTCTCTGCCCAGGTGGAAGATGAGACTTCCAGGGATGGCTGGGGAGTGAAAACTACTTTTATCCAAGACAAGCTGCCTAAATGCCAAACAAAACCTCTCAGCACCACATTCAAACACAATAGACAGGCACATACTGGTCTGTGAGTAGTGAGACCCAAAACTGCTCCAAAATCAAGTTCTGTAAGTGCCCAAATGTGCAGCATCTGAGCCCAAATCCACGTGGAGCACTGGCATCTCTCCCTACAGCCCCAACTCTACCTGTACATCAGGTCAATCAGCATTTCTGGATCTTCCTGGTGCTCCTTCATTTTAACTGTGTCCGACAGGATCATATGGAGGTTGAATACTAAATCCTGGACCTGTGAAAAATAAGTTGTTGTAAAGAATTGGCAATGGGAATTGAGCTACACATTGTTATGTGAGGAACACGATCATTCTGAATCTTTGTGTGTTTGAATCTTCTCAGCATTAATCAAAGACCTGAGTTTTATGTGATTAGATGATTAAAAAAACCAAACCCCAAACCCTTTTCAGGGAATGCATGCAAATTCCAGTTTTAGATGCAGGTTCAGGCATAGACTGTGAATGAATTACTTGTCTTGTGGTTTATGTCTTTTACCTGGTCAGGAAATGTTGTCTCCCTAAGTTCCAGATCTTCTTCAGCATATGTCAGAATAGTCTTGAGGGAACGCCGCAGAAATTCTTCATTGAAGTTCTGGGATGTCCCCACCAGGGATGAGAGGGACATGGTCACCTGCATCTTCACTCTGGCAAAGTTCTGCAACAGAGATGTTGTTATGGTATTTCAGCAGCCTGGAGACAGTGCAAAACCAGTACTTTGGTCATGGCACCCTTCTCCTGACCTGATAGAGAAAAGAAAACTGAAGTTTTGCAAGAATGGCTGTCTCATAGCAGTGATTAGAATAAACCTGGTGCTGCCAAACTTCATAATCTGATGATTATTTAGTTCCAGATAAAGGTTCTCCTGCAAAAATATTAGTGTTTGTTTCCACATGGTCTCCTCTCACACACCCTGAACAGGATGATGGTCTCATCAAACACCCTTGATCCCAGTTGTCTTTGGTTAGGTCAAGCCTAAAAACTGGAATCCCATTCTCTTTGCTGTTGTCAATCCCCTCACAGTCCCAGGGCCCAGAGCCAGTGTGTCCCCCAGGTCTGTAGGGGACTGAACCCAAAGCCAGCAGCCCCCAACCCCATTATCTGCAGTAACAAGTGAAGAGCAGCAGCACTCACGTTGCCAATCTCGAAGTTCTGCCTCATGAGGAGGTAGAGGGAGGCACTGGCGTGGGACCTGATGGTGCTGATGCTGCTGCTGCAGTGCCTCAGGAGCCTCAGGCACAGGTCTGCACATTGCTCTGTCTCCTCCTCAAACAGCAGCTCAGGGAACTGGGAAACAGCAGGGGAGGAAATCAGTGCTTGGACAGGCAGGAAGGAGCACTTGGATAAACAGGCAGCAGTGAATGAGAGGGAGCCCAATCCCTCTGCTGTGAGGGGAATGATGCTCACTTGAATCACTTTAAGTAAGGCAAAACTGGCAGCACTGGAAGGCAGCTCATTTTACCTTCTCCTCCAACTTGCTCCTACATCTACACCCTCACACTGATTTACATCACTCCCAAAAACTCAGGCTTAAAACTTCGAGCTTCTCCCAGCACACCTACAGAAATGGGAAACAAATCCATTTAAAGTGAGATTTGTCCAGCTTAAACCCCACCTGTGCCTTGAGCTCCCCACTGAGCAGGTGCCTCTTCCCACCCAGTGCCAGCCAGCAGGAGCCCCCATCCCATCCACGGTGTGTGAGCTGCACTTTTTGGTGCAGCCAACCCCAAAATGTAGAAATGCAGGTACTGCCCCTGAAAACCAGGCCAGGCTACGCTGCCTGAAAGTTAATACTGCCCAAAATAATAATTGCCTGGGAAAGTGACCCCATACAAAAGAAGAAACAGCGCCTTCCTCCCTCAGTGCTGCTCAGGGTGGATTTCTGGCCCCACAGGGGATTCACCTTTGAGACCAAAGCTCTCTGTGTGGCAAAGCAGTGCTGGAGGTAAAGGGCACTTTGGTTGCAGGCCATGCTGTGCAGCAGCACTTTGAGCACCCCACCCAGGATGCTCTCCTTGGATTCTGTCACGGACACAGTCTGCAAAGAAAAACCAAAATTCCATGAGAAAAATGAACCTCCTGTGTGTGTGGGAGAGAGCAAAGAGCTCTGACCAAAAGCCCTTTGCATGGGGAAGTTACCCCCTCAGCTGGGCCTGCCAACCCCCAGGTGAGGAACCTGATCCATGGGTACAGCAGCTGGAATGGGGATTCTTTGTCCCCAGTGAGGCTCTGACCTTTGGGCACATTGTTCTGCTAGAGGCAAAGTCCACAGCTAGGCTCTGGCTGGGTTATTCAGGCACAGAGTACAATCCTTGGGATTCCTGGCTCTCTCTGCAGATCAGAGGTGGATTTGGGAAGCATGGTCCTGCCTGCTCCCAGCCCGTGCCCAGGTCCATTTGTACAGAAATCAGGGGACAAAGTGAGTTCAGGTCCAGGAGGCTGACCAGTGATTTGAAGCAGGTTTGGGAAGAACTGGAGGAACTGTTTGGGATAGGGCACGATTTTTACAGTTAATTCCTGAATAACTATGTCTTATACTACAAGGAAGGGAGAATCTTCAAATTCTCAATTTCAAGACTGAAGGAAGGTATTGCAATGTAAAACCAGATTGTTCCAGGCTGGGATTAGGAGAGGCATCACCCCTTTCCTGCTGCAGCTGAACAGTTCTCTCAGCCCTGAGACAGTTTTGTTTAACAAAGTGCTGCTTGGCCATGTGACTGTAATGCCATTATATCTCAATTTTCCTATCAACCTCACCTGTACAACTATCTCTAGAGTATCCAAAATTATCAGGTTGGCTTCTGTTGCAAGATTCCCATCAATGAGTGCCTCATGTTCAATCTCTGCCCTTGACCTGATCAGAGAAAACAAAACAGTAAAAATTACTTCCTGATTAAGGAACAGACCTACATATTTTTCAGTCAAAAATCTTCTCTCACTAGCAGGGAACTCCCATTCACAGTTTGTATATTTATCACTGGACAACACTACGAGGATATTTCAATGCAACCCTGAAAGGACAGGAAGGAAAACTCAGTTTTTCACAAGTACAGACTTACAGAGGCTTCACGTTCATCATGCTTGGAGAGCTCACACTGCTCTCTGACACTTCATTACTCTCCCAGGAACACAACAACAGTGTAGAAGCCCAGTCCAACTCCAAACTGGCTCAGCAGCATCGTTAGGCATGCGACAGCACAACCAGGAACAGGACATGTGGCTTTATGCTGCAGGCTGTGGACACACGGTGGTGCTACACGAGCTGGGAACCTGCACTGGGAGCAGCACAGTGCAGCCTGCCAGGCTGCAATCTTATCTCTCCAAGCTACACTGCATTTAATCCTTGAAGCACAGCTTCCTCTCTGAGAAGGACAAGGTTTTGCTGCTCCATGCCAGGCACTTGTTTTCCTGGAAAGCCTTGCAAAGTCCAGACACCAACTCACACCTGTGGCTCCAGGAATTCAGCACAACCAGCCCCTTCCAGGGGCACCAGCTGCACTGGGCAGAGATCCAGGGCTGTACTGCAAGGTGTACCGACCCTGGCCTGCCCTGCCACAGGTGTCACCTCTGACAGACTGGTGCCACACCAAATCCCAGCAGGACGGTGACCAAAATCCAGAAAATCACAGAAAAATGAACAGAGAAGAGAAATGATTTGGCTCTTGGAGCTGTATTGCAGCAGCCCTTCCCTGCCACACTCCCATGTCCTCTGGGAGCTGGCTCACATCTCCAACATCTCCAGGACAGGAAGTTTTGGGACCTGGCCCCACATAAAATATGACCATCTGCATAAAATGATAGCAACTGTAAGCTGTGCACAGCTCTTGGAGTGGAAAGTCTCGTTTATGAGGTTTCAAAGGGCCAGGCTCTACCTACACACACAGGACACAGCACACTCAGTCACAGCAAGCAGGGGTTAGAAAGCAGCTCTAGAGAGTTCTATCTAAGGAGCTCATTTTGTGAGGTGAGACACCATCCTTTGACCACCAAGGAATTCCACAGCTGTTAAATGTGGACTTGAGGTCCTTCTGGGAAGGACAGGGCTCAGACCCAGAGCTGGCAGTGAACTGATGAGGCTTTCAGGACAAATTTTAACCTGGTGTGACTCTGGAATTTAAATCTACATCACTTCATCAGCAGGTTGAAATACCCTGGTCATTTGGCTTTCCCAATGACTCAACAGGACTGGAGCCTTGCACAAAAAGCCACTACTTGTCATAAGGAAAAATTACATTTTTGTGTGGGACAAAAGAACTAAAGGCTGTAAAGAATTGCTTTCTAGAAAGAGTCAATGTCTGCAGGAGTAAAATTTGGCCTGATCTCTATCTGAGTTCTGAGGACCTCATTCCTCAGTTTCTTCAGAGCTTCACTTGGGCTGAGATTGCTTCCCTAGGATAAGGAATGATTCTTTTGCTGGGAGAATGGAGACTGCAGGTTGCAATTTGAGGAGACAGAAAACGTGCACAGCAAAGCTCAAACACAACTCCTGAGCCCTCTGGATTAAACCACACCAAGAGAGGGGAATTTTCAAGGAAATGGGTGTAATAAGCCAAAAGAGCTCATTCCAGTCAGTTGCACACACACACTGAGAAGTTCTGCCAAGCATCACAAACAACGCTGTGATGATTGAGTCTGCAGATGTACAAAATGGCAATTTATAAGAACTGCACACCAATGCTACAGTACCTGGCTGGTTTGTGGCTTCTAAAAGCACAGCACATGTGGAAAAACAATCAAAGTGATGGATTAGGACAGGAAAGGAAAGCGAGCTTTGAGAACTCCAGAATGCTCTTATGGAATAAAGGAAATATGACATGAGATATAAATGCTATCTGTGGAAACTCTTAATGGATCTTCCCTCTAAATTACAGCTTAGGGCAGGGGTTTAAGACAGTAATTGATTGTATAAATCTCTTTAAATCTGATTTGGAAGTCTAAGGAAGCAAGAAACAGTGGAAAGGCAAAGAGTTGGGAGGGCAGTGTTAAAAGCTATTTGCCTTCTTTTTTTTTTTGCAACGCCAGCCCTGTGCACCTGAGGGCTCAAACCTGCTGGCACAAGGGCTGAGTGGCTGCTGGCAGTGACCTTCTGTGGGGAGGGGGACCCTGCTCTCACAGCCCTGGCACATGGGTAGAGCAGAAGGATAAGGCAGAGTTACTTGTCAAGCTTCTCTGTGTTCTGCCGCCAGTGAGTCATATCCTTTCTCCATCTCAGATTCTCTTGACTTCCAAAGGCACTCCCAGAAGGGCTCCTCTCTGCAGGGGAACAGCAAAACAACAGCACTCAGTCAGCTGATGCTCATTTCTGCAGCAGCTCCAGATCTGCTCACAAGTGGCAGGTGGCAACAAAGATGATTTTCTAGAGCCTGATGCTCTGTGGCACTCACCCAGGATGTTTACATGGCCCTAATTCTGTCACTGCTGAGTGGCATGAGACACAGAGGCAGCTGAGACACTCACTGGTGAGAGGAGTCCCTTCCTTGGACTGCACAAGGAACCTGAGGGTGCCAACCCTCAGCAATCCAACACTGCTGTCCTCACCTGGCACCCAGGAATGCTATCAGGGTGGTGCCAAGATTCCCATCTCACAGTCTTTTATTCTCATTGCTGGGAGGGTAAGGGAATTTCAAGTAATAAAAGTAATCTGGCCATATTAAGAAAAAAATTAAGGTTCCCATCTCTGAAGTGATTCCTTAATTATGGCTCTAAACTACTTATCCACCTTAGCCCACAGTGACAGGCTCGTGTGGCAGAGCAGGAGACAAAACCACATTTCTGATTCTTGTCCTAACCCCTGGGCCACCCTTTGAATTTTGGGTGTTCATAAAAATTCCTGTTTTTTACAAACAGTAAAAATCATCAGAAAGTGCCTGTTAGCCCAACACAGCTACTTCAAGTCTCCTTAAGTCAGCAGAAATGTCCAGGCATTTTCAGAGCTGTCAGAGCAAGACCAGGCAGTTTGTTTTCCTCTCTGATCCTTGAACAGGACACTCTAGAAGATGCTACACTGGAAAAAATTAAGGCAACAACATCTCATAAATGAGATGTGATCTGACTTAAAAAAGCAATCAAGTAACAAGTAAATTGTCTGCAATTTAGGAAAAGTGTAGAGATTTTGCAGACCCAGGGAAGGATGCAGCAAACAGCTTTCCTAGTGGTCTCTGTGTATCCCACACCACAGATGGGGGCAAATAATTGTTGGGGATGGGAGAAGCAGCTTTTGGAAAAAAGGGATGGCACAGGGGACTCCTTTACTCACCCAGCTGCCCTCTACTTCTTCGGACCATCTCCTGCCTTGCCCCTATGCTGCCCAAAATTGCTTCTTCAAGTTTGGCTCTCATGTCTTTTGACTTCTTAAACGTCAGACTGTTCATTCTTTCAAACACTTTCTTGCCCTGCAAGTTGCAAACAAAACCATGAGGGAAGATTCTTTCAATTTGGGATTTTTGCTAAGAGTTAACAACTCAAAATATCTGAAGATATGCAGTAAGAAAGGAATACAGATTAAGCTGGTAGGTAAATAATTCACTCAGATTCCAGCATTGCTACAGAAAATTATCTTTTCAAAGTGACACTGCAGCAGTTCCCAGATGAGGGGCAAAGCAGCACGAACTGCTTGAGAAGTGGAACAAGGCACAGACACTCACATGGCTGGGAAGTAAACATGGGAAAAGCCTGGCCTTGGGATTGTGAGTACAGGAAATACTTTGGAGAGAGCAGGAAATGCCTTTCTGCAGTCGTGTAAAGGATGGGAGTGTAAAGGTCCTCGGCAGGGCCCAGGAGGGACTCCAGGAGGTTCCAACTTGGCAGTACCTTGTACTCAAAGCAGGACACACAGAGATAGAGCAGGTCCAGCAGGCGGTTGAGCTGAAGCACTGACAGGTCAGTGAACCATTTCTGCAGGACACTCTCATCTGCATTCTTCAGCACCCAGAGCAGGCAGATGAGGAGGCTGCGGCTGGACTCTGTTGAGAAGGTGGAGTGCTGCCTGCCACTCTGAAACACAGGTCAGGACAGGGCTTCACACCCACACATTCCAAACACCACACAGGGTGAGTTTCTTCCCTTGAGAGAACTGTAATAACCTCAGCAGCTTAGGGGTTAAGCAGAGGGGCTCCATGTTGTCTCATGCATCTATCAGTGTTTCACTGAGACTGCACCTAAATCCCAGCAAAACGGGGTCCTGGAGTAAAGGCAAGGCAGAAATGGAAAGGTCTGCCTGCTACCAGAATCAGGATTCCCTCTCTATGCAGAGAACATGGAAAATGGCCCCTCCTTGTATTCAGCTAGGTGGGATTTACCTGGGGTAGAATTTGTTCTTAGGACTTAAAGCTCCTAGTGACTACTGCACTGCACACAGCTTTTATAAGATTGTTTCAGAACAAGAGAATCTTTATCAGGAAAGAGAATTCACCCACTTTCTGAGGTTTGTTGATTTCTATCCCTCCTTGGCATTTTCTGATGCCCCTCTGATACAGACACAGCAACATGCAAACGTGCTTTGTCCCCCTTGCTGCCCCTCTGCACACACAACTACAAACTGATGTGGGTCCCCACAGAACCTGCTGACTATTTGCTGGTCGACACTGACTGAGGGTCAGGAAATGGGGAGGGATGGATTTGTACCGAAGAAGGGAGTAGAAAACTGCTGGGCCTGGTGAGCTGGGGGACAGAAGTCCCTGCAATGGCCATGGCCACTGTCTGGCTGATCATGCTGCCACCCTCGCTCTCGTAATCGTCCACGGTGACACAGCTCGGCCTCCCCCGCTGGTTGTGACTCTCTGCAGAGAAATACAGGACTTTAGTCAGGCCCCAAAGCCAAGGCTTCACCCCCCAGACTGCATCCACAGCGCTGGTCTGACTGAACTGGGAATGCAAACTGAAAATCACCCCACACAAGGGATCCTGCAAAGAACAGGACAATGATTTGAGGGCATGAAAGCAAAGACAGCAATTCCCAAATGCAACCTACACAACCTCATTACCTCAAACTCTTCTAACAGCAGACCTTTTGTCTCTTTGAATACTCCAAATCCTTTCTTGCAGCTTTATGGTGTCATTAAACTCAAAGGATGTAGACAGAACTCTAAATTCGGAATTATTCCTGATTGGACTCCCTGCCCTGATTTGAAATAACCTCAGCTGCATTTTGGGACACTTTGCAAAGCACCCCAGAAAATGAACTCCTGCTGGAGCACATGATAGGAGGAAGAAGAGGAACTCTGCTTATCCTTTAGATTTAGGGACTCTGGTACAGTGTGAGGGGTGACTTTTTAAGCAGGTCTGAGATATAGATGGAAGCTGGCTGTGAATTTACATCAGCCAGTGGGATGTAAACTGAAATGAACTGCTTTCTTTTTATTTCATGCCAACAAGTGGGCAAATGCAACTTTTGAGCGTTAACAGGCACTGAAGGCACATTTTGCAAGTGAAATCAAACATAAAAAAATATCCAAATCGCAATTCAGAAACAACCTCATCCGACAGCAAAGGCGGTCATACACAATTCAATTTTAGAACCCAAATACCCAAGTCTAGTGAGCAGATGAGCAGATAGCCAAGGCAGGGAATATCAAATACCTGTGAAGTCATAGAGCTGAGGCACAGTTTCCATGATCACGCCAATCAGAGGTAGATACAGCATTGCCACCCGGGCCTTTACCTGGGGGTCAGCGTACCGCGGGTCCGAGTCGTGGCTGGACAGCAGGTTGTGTACCATGTTGATGACCTTCTTATGCAATCCAAACAAACTGTTAAAAGACAGTTGGGTCATGCACATTAGTTAATATCTTCAAAGGAAACACTGTTTTGTAACTAAGGGGCTTCAAAAAGGGAAAAAAAAAAAATCCCCTTTTTTATTTTTAACTGCACACGAACTGCCTTGCATGTGTTTTTTTGATCTCCCACGGATTTTACAGATGGCTGGTTTTTCACTGTGCCTTGTAAAATGGGCAAAAATATCTTGTGGAATGCACACCCAGTATAATGTGAACGCTCTCATATTTTCCTTTAAAAACCCCCAAAGTCTCAGCTACTGCTATGCATTGAATCTACTAAAAACTCTCAGAAAAACTTCAGGAATATGGAAAACAGGGAGAGAAACTTGAGAGGACAGCGGGTTTAGTAAAACCTTTTGTTGTATTCTTTTTTTGTTTATTTTTAACACCTTTTACAGAGAGACAAACCCTCCTAAACCAGAACATTACTTTAATCAAATGATCAGGAAGTTTCTGCTTCAGCTCCCCACCCTACCCCATGCAACTACTGAACCAAAACAGGAGACTACAGATTCATAATTTTGGATAAAAAGTGGCAAAGACATGAAGGGATAGAAGGAAAAGCAGCCAAAATGGCTTCTGTGATTATTCAGATGCAAACACTGGCAGAGCCCTTCTATAGGACACCATGTGTGACCCTCCTTGAAAACACAAAAACTCTCCTGAATCTCTCAAGGACTCTGCTCCTTTCAATCCCCTCAGCCACCACGCAGAGGCAAAACTCTCCCAGAGCAAATAGCAGGTTCTCTCTGCAGCTATTTGCTTCTGTAGGCAAACCAGCCAAGAAGACACTTTACCCCATGCATGAAGCAGCCAAGGAAGCTCAGACATTAGGCAGTAGCAAAACATAAGCTGCAATGTTCAGACCTGAGGTATTAAAACAAGTGCTGAATTTCAGGCAGTATCCACTTTACCTGAAAAGTAGAGGTGAGTTCTGGTTAAAAAAAAAAAGAGGTTTTGACTGGATTTTTGGGGGGTTGAAGTTGACTATAAGGCAGCAGTACAGCTTGGGAGGACATCAGCTATTGCAGCTGCAGGTCCTCCCTGTGGCTTTTAATCAAGCCATAATGAGATCCTACAATTGCTTGTTTGTGTAATTAGTGAGAGCCTTAACAACTAGGAAGGAAACGCTTATTTAAGTGACTGGTTCCTTCAGATTAAGGATAAAGAAAAGTCTTTGTATTATTTTGAAGGAGTGGCACCTAAATCATGTTTTTAAAAATTCAAGGGAAACTATCCCACAGGCCATAAAACTGCAGATAGGGAGAACATCCAAGCAATGCTGCCTAATTCCAACCTAGGGATCCGTGGATTTCTTTGTCACTTTTCCAGGGCTGAGTGGGCACTGTGGTGGATTGATCCATGGAGGAGAGGAGGAAATGCAACCCCTGCTCTTCCTGCCTGATAAGGCAGTGAATCGATCTCGCTGCCCTCCCTCCATCCCCTCCCTTATCTCAGCCCTGGCCTGGATTTTTGTCAACGCCCACCCCAACTTCTGCAAAACTGACTGTGGCACTGAACTCTGAGGACTGAATTCTGATTTTTCTCACTTCTGGCCTGCACTCTCAGCCAAGATGGGCAGTGTGGACTCTGTGTGTGATGGCCAAAGCACCCCTGCAGTGTTTGCACAGACAAATGTGCAGGGTCCAGCTGCTGGGACTGTCACGTTCAGCTGGATCCCTTCCCCTGCACGCTTTGTCTGTCCTGTCTGCCAGGCTGCAGGTGCCCTGCAGGGCTGCTCTGTGCCCTGTGACACTGAGGGATGGACCCAACACACACCTCCAGGCACCAGGGAACTGACTCCTTTTCTGTCCAATTCAACCCAGAGTTCTTACAGAATGAGCTAAAAGTAAACATATCTTGCTAATGGAGCAAAAAAGAGCAAGGGCAGAACACATTTAAGGCTCTGGATCACCTCTCAAAGCCTAAAGAAGATATCTAACACAATAAGCAACTACATGAACAGTCCCTTCCACTCCTGCTGCAGGATAATGAACTGGGAACAGTGCTGAGCTTCCTCCAGTGGTGGCCACAATATTTTATGGAAGGCAGGTGTGAACTCTCTGCTGGTGATATTGTATGACTGTTAAAAGTCTTCACAGCAAAGGAAGAGCAGATCTGAACACATTTGTTTACTTTCTCTGATAGATCTACCAGGAGAAATGAAGAGGGTTTGAGCTTGAGAAGTCAACAAACCTGAAACTCCAGGTTTTTCTGGAAAACAGTAAAAAAATAAATATTTTACAGGTATACATCTGCCCCCGAATTCAGGAGCTTTGATCAAAATGCATCTCCAGAGCTGAACTGGTACCAGGGGGCTCTTTCTGGCTAGACAAGGTTTGAGAGAGGAGCTGCCACCCCAGTGGACACCAGCAAGCTCCTGTGTGCAGAGATTACCATCCTGGGCCAGGCTTGGTAGGCAGGTAGAGAAAAGAAAGGTTGTGAAGAACAAGGGCAGACACACTCAGAGACTCAGAGACTCAGGGCCTGACTTCTAAGCAGTGAGCAGGATGCTCCTCTGGAACAAAAAGGATTTCTGCAGACAGCACATATGGGTTAACATTTGCTGCTTTTTCCATTTCAGACCAAACAAATGGGACTGCAGTGTGTTATGTATATATACAGGAAAATATTCCAGTTTATGGCATCACTTTCTTCTCCAAGAGGAAACAGAATGAATGTTTAACTCCAGAGACCTCTTAGCAAAGGGGCAGAATTAACCATGAATCACCAGCATTTGTCGACTCGGCTGATATTTCTGAGTCCACCTTGAGAAAAATGTCTGTGAGGGAACTCAGGACTGTGGAAGCAATCAATAATTTCCATTGCAACCCATTATAAAGAGGCAAGGCAGAAAACAGCCCTAAATAACACAAGGAACAGAGTGGATGTCAGGACTACAGCAGAAAATTATTTGCTGCACAAGCCAGGCAAGTCACTGACAAACTCTGCATGCTTGACTCTATTTGTCTATTTGTGTAACCCACAGGGGACTCATCAATGCATAATTTACAGATAAAAAGAGCTGGGAGAACCACAGGCAAAATATATTGTAACATTTAAAACCACCAGCAAGAGAGGCTTCCTAAATGTTAGAAATTATTTTCTTGTTACATTTGAGAAAAGCTATTTTCCTTTCAGAGCTCCAGCAGTGCCCCTGTAGCATCTGGGGGCTCCAGCAGGAACCTTTCCCTTCTTCTCAGCTGGAAAAATATGACTGAAATCAGGTTTACAGAGTCTGGGATAAGGAAGAAACAAGGGGCAAGAAGAAAGAAGATTCTCAAATCATCAATTTCTTATCATAGCTTACAAATTTATATAAATTCTGGCCATGCCATGACTTTCTTTGCATCTCCCATTACAGAAAGCTCTTTGAAAAACAAAACTTTGTAAAGATTTACCCTTCTGCATCAGGATCTAGAATGACAGCCAGTTCTGTGAGCACCAGCCCAGCCAGGTAATGCTGCTGGCGGAAAGGCACAGACAACTCAAACATATTTGCAATCTTCTGGTCTTGGACATTTGTGGAGAACCCAGAACTCTGAAAAAATCAAGTTGCAGAAGCTGCATCATGAACTGAGTCAAAACTTAGGAAATATATAAGAAGCAGTTTTCAGAATTAAAGACAACCTCACGCTTTTTCTCTTTTTTGTCTGGGTCAAGGCACATCTACACTAAAATTCCATCCCAGCTCAGTAACCCTTCCATTTGTTGTTATTGTCTTCCCCTATTAGGAAAGTTAAACCAAATAACCTTTAAAAGTGGATTGGTTAAACTTTTAACTCAAGGATGCTCTTATTCAGGCTGAAGAAGGCTTTAATTTGATTTAGTTTATGTGATTTTGCAACTAATTAATCCACTTGAATGACACACTAATTCAAATTACTTTTTCTGAGCAGGCCAGGACTAAGCTGCAGGGAGCTCAGAAGTCCCTTGTGTGGCCAGAAAAGGATAACAACGGACAAAATATTTTATTTTATGACTTATTTGTGTTTGTCCAATATAAGAGGGGACCAGGTCCCTAAGGACAGTGTGTAGTCCCTGCCAGGAGAGGGATATGGGCACTCTTTCCTCAATAATAAAAGATCAAAAGAAATCAGAACCTATGTGGCAGGAAAAACTGATTTCTAACTAAACACTTCCAAATATATTAGCAAGAAGGACTGAAAGTACAGGGATACAACTGCCTCAGAGAGTTTAATTCTCAGCACCGAGCTCAACTTGCATTTCCCAAATTTCTCAGTACCTGGGAAGTGGCTGAAGACACAGATGGTGATGGAGATGCAGGTGGTGTGAGCAAGCTGCAGGGTAAATTCAAGGTGACATAGTGCTCGTGGCTGCAAATGATGCGCAGGAAGTCCAGCCTCAGAGATGCCAGGTTGCTTGGATTTGTTAAGGAATACATCTTTGAAGACACCTGCAAAATCCAGCCCACAGCACTGCAGTCAGCACCAAAAGAGAGTGTAACTGCAGGGTAAGCCCCCCTGGCCCACCCCTGCTCCCCAAAAACACTCCCAAAGCAGGAACTGGAGAGCTTGCTAACACTAAATGGTCACACCCATGTCCACAGCAATTTTTGTGCCAGAGATTAAGTTCCTGATGTGCAGGAGCCACACACATCCCAGACATAGCTCTCAATACAAGATCTATACACCAGTCATATTTAAATAAGCAAATGAAGAACTGTGGACTTCACCTATTGAGGCTGGAACAAGATGATCTTTAATGTCCTTTCCAACCCAAACCATTCTTTGATTCTATAATTCCCACATCCTATTGATTTCAGCAGAGAGTACACTGTGAGGACCACAGTGGGATGCACTAACAGCTCCAGGATGCAGGTTGGTTTTTATACATGTATCTTTTATATATAAAAATATAATTACTGACACATAATATATGTAATATACAGCAGGCAACTTAAAATCTTAAATGCTCTTGCTGATCTTTTCCCCCTTATAGAGAATGTTTTAGACTCTACAGGAAAAATGAGTCTAAGCTTAGTCCCACTTCTCACTGATCCCTTGTTACCTCCTCTGTACACAGTGTCAGAATGGATGTTTGCAGTCGAACAAAACTTTGTGGTTCAAGTTAAATTCCCTGTCACACTGCAAAAGAGGAGTCCTCCTTATGGGGAAGGACACCCTGCATCCCCCAAAGGATGGAAGAGGAGCTCAGTTATCAATATCATCACGCAGGGTCACGTTGTCATTAAGAGACCACAACAGTCTGAACTTTCTAACAGAACAGAAGTTTTGATTCAATTCTCTGAATGTGGTGAACAGAGGGAATAATTCTCCCTTCCTGCTGCATGTCCATTCACTCCAGGGAGTGACTCCTAACTCACAGTTAAGAATGCAATCAGAGAGGTGTAAACCCTAAATCACCCCTGAGAACGCCCTGCTCTAAGAAGACCTGGACAGCAGAATTCTGTGTTCATATTTTACTGTCTGTCCAGAGAAATTTAACAGTAACAGGTTCTGCCATGGTTCAGCTAAGCCACAACGTTTATCTGCATTCACCTGTTTGTAGCAGGTCTTAATAAGAGAAAATACAAATCCTCTGTCCATGATGGACAACAAATCATTGAGGAAAAACGCGAGGCTGGTGTTGAGCCGCTCCACCATTTCCGTGTCCTGGAGAGAAGGAAGAGAAAACCAGAAAGCAGATGAAGAACCTTGTGTGTTTTCAAGCAAACAAGAGGCAGCAGAGCTGGTGGCTGAGCTGGGCTCAGTGTAATTGTTTGCCATCACCTTCTGGAAGCGGGAGACTATATCACCAGCGATTGTGCTGACCAGTGCAGTCACGTCATCCATGAAGCGCTCTGGGAAACGATTCTTCCTCGGCACATCCAGTTTGTCAGCAAAATACAGATGATGCACCATGCTCTTCACCTATGGGGATATAAATTACAGCACAGCCACTTGCAGCTGCTGCTAGTTCTGTGTGAAAGCAGGGGCTGGGAGATATCAGGGAGGTGTTTGCTCACCATCAGCTCGAAGAAGAACCAGGCCTGCTGCAGGGCCGCCTCCCGCACGCTCCCGCTGCACACAACCCACTGCAGGGCCAGCTCCTCGTGGAAAAGCTACAGAGTCAAACTACAGTCAGTCCCAGCCTCCAGAGCAGCTCCCAACACAGCCCCCATGAGAAATGTCAGCACGGTCCATGGCAAGTATGGCAAACAATGAGTTAAGCAAACTAAATAACTCAGGACATGACAGCAGTGGTGGCATCCCATAAAGAAATCCCCAGCTAACAATGAGGGATGAGGTTATGACATGTGATGTGAGAAACGTTTCACAGCATCTCGCTCCAGGATTGAATCTCAAGTGTCAAAAGAATTTTCCTCCCGCCCCCAAGAAATAACAACTAAAAAAAAAAAGTTGGTGCTCAAATTAGTTTAGTTTAAAAAGTCTACCTTTCTGCCTGGTCTGATTCTTGCAGGAAAAAGGAGTAAAAAGTGGACATATAAAGTGATTTGTACAAAGATGTATATTTACTGTGAGAAAGGACTTAAAACAGTAGGAAAGAAACATGGGGCTCAAACAGCTCTTGGATTTCTTTTCTCGGGACGACCAACCCACAGACTGACGGTGGCAGTGGCCACATTTTCATTACACAAAAGCTCTGGCATTTTGCCTTTCTGACATTCTTTACAAGGTTCTCATTTCCTGTCAGGGAGTTCACTTTCAAAGTGACTCCCATTCCCTTTCTGGAGTCTCTCTGGATTAACACCTGGATAAGTGAGCTCAGCACACTGAGCCATCCAACACATTTTCATTTTGCACACAAAATGTATCATTTACGTGTCTAGACAGTGCTATTCATATTTTTTGAAAGCCAGTAATAAACCGGCCCCAAACACTATGGCCATTAAATCAGACAAGCAACTCCTGCTCATTTAATTCTTCCCAATTCAATTCCAAATACTTCATATTTCCTACAGCCTAGATATTTAGAGGTGTTAAGCACCAGCAGTTCCTAATGACCTCGGAGGGGGGGAAAAAAAAATCAGGCTATAAATAAAAGAATAAATTGCATCATGTTTTCAGAATGACTTGACCTCCCTGCCCCACAATATCAATTGTCTCCACTGAAATCTACCTTTTTGGTTGGTAATCGTCCTGTTAATGTTTGTAAGAAACTTGACGTCTCAGTGTGCGAAGACATACGATTACAACTTCGATCCGTAGCCTACGGAGTGGAGATGAATGAATGATGACAGGACATTAAAGTTTGCCGTGGATGGGTTTTGCAGCTCAAGGACAACCAAAGTTTACAAAAATATTCTTCCAACTCTTAAGGTTTTTACAGGCTTTAAAGCATTCTTAAACTCTTAGCCATTTACAGATTGGGTCTAAACAAAATGACAGCAATTTTGATTGGTTTTAAGACAAACAGGTTATTTAAAGAACTGCATGTTCTGATGCACAAAGACAATGCTGCAAAGCATGAAACTTTTCCATCATTGCATTTTATCAACATGCACAGGGAATACTTGGAATTTCAGCCCATACCTCTCAATCTACCAGAGGCCAAGAGTGGGGGGATGTACCCACACCCATGCTGCTGCTGCCACGGGCAAGGAGAAAATCACTCAAGTTCTGCTTCTGATGGAAATAATTTGCCATGAGAGCAAGTGAACTTGGACTAAATCTTTTGGGAAGGCTGATAAACTGGGAAGGAGGAGCAGTTGAGAGGTACGTTCAAGGCAACCATGCAGTGGAGAGCAGCAGGCAACGGGGGCTAAATAAATAAATAAACTCTTCCTGACTGAAGCTGCTGTGAAGTTTTCATACTTTGCAACACAGAACAATGCAATTGGCCCTGGCAAATCACTGCCTCCAGCACTCAAATTGACAAGCTTTAAGAGAGAATTTAATATGTGGCAATCAATTTGGGTTCACAATATTCCACTCAAACAAGTCATGAAGGATTACTGGACGATGAGTACTAAATGCTTGATGAGAATGGCAAAATGGTTCACGACATCAAAAGGAATGGCAAACATGGACAAAACATTGAAGCTGTGATTAATGTTCCCACTTAGAAATGTGCTCCACCTGAAGCTGAAACTAGCGTGAGAGAAAGAGAAAAAAAGAAAACAAAAGCAGTCACAGCATTTACATTTCACAGAGCAGCAACCACTGAAATGAAAGGAGGGGACACGTTCACGAGATCGGAGTTTTTTCATGCAGTGTGGTGGGGGGACAAGATGAGAATTTATAAAATCAAACTGAAAAGTTTTCAAATAAACAATAATGGAAAAAAAAAAAAAAAAAAGAGAGAAACCACCAAAACTGGAATATGCACTGAAAGGAAGATATTCTACAGGGAAACATCAGGGAAAACGAAAAACCTCTACCGAAGACACCACCTGTGTTGGTTCTGCACTTGGGCTGGGGTTGGATCCCCATGGGGCTGCTTTTGGACCACCAGTGTTTACCCAGGAATTGGAGCGGTCTAAGCCCTGGGCATGTAATAGAAAGCAGTTGGGAAAGGAAAGAAATATTACACTTTGCATGCCATACAGTAGTCAAAGTTCAGTCCTTACAAGCAATCAAAGTGGGTACACTGCAAAACAATCTGCACTTAAAACTGCTGGGGCAGCCTGAGTTCTCAGGTGCCTGTCGAGACATTGAGACCAGAGGATTATTTTATATCTCACATACATACAGAACATTAATCCTGTCAGCAGCTCTGGTCTGGCCTGTCCTGTCTGGAATGCTTGACATTCAAAAACTCTTCTCCTCCTGAAAAATCCCACTTGTCCTTTGCTCAGTTTAAACCCATTCCCATGGAGCCAGGTGAGATTTCCACTGTGACAGAGGAAAACTGGTGCTGAGATGTGAGGATGCTCTCTGAGGTTTCCAGCACCTTCAGGGTAGCCTGGAGTTCATAAACTCTACAATTCTTACAGAAATACTGAGAAACAGAAGAGGCTGACTGTCAACCCTCACAGGGTTCCCTGCCCACGGAATTAAAGTCCAGCACTGCTGGCAGAATAACCCTGTGGACAGGATCTCACATGGACACTCGGGCATTTCCTCCATGGCAAAGGGAGGAAAGAGCACGTACCTTTTCTGGAACCAAGAAAAATCATCCTGCTTTTCAAAAGCTCAATCTAGCCTGTACTCCAAATTCTACTGCAATGGATCATTTTGGCAGAATTACTGCGGATCCCTCCTCTCTCTGCTCTCTTCTCCTTGAGACACTCAGAATGAAAGAAAAATTTAAACTTGTGCTGTCACCCAGGCTGCTCCCAAATCAGGAACATTCAAGGGCATGGAGTGGACTTCCCTGGCTCCCAGGAAGCAGCTCTGACAGACATAATTCCTTATAAACACCACACATTGATTTTGACAAACCTCACCTAGGTGAGAGCTTCCATCCTCACTTCTCTGCCAACTTAGGGCTTTTTCCCAATATATAAAGCAAAAGGTGCGGCTCATTTCATCCCTGTGATCAGCACCAGCTGGAAAATCCACCAAGCCAAACCATCCATTTCTCTCAGCAAACTAAAATCCACCTCAAGGTTGAACCTGGCGTGAGAGCTGTAACCTGGGATTCAAACCATTAATCCACTGAGCTCCTCGAGGCAGAGCTCAGCAGTGCTGTAATTTTGCTTAAGATGTCCAATAAAAAAAATACTGAACACATAAGGAGAGTGTTTTAATCTCAATTACTTTTTGGCAGAAATAAATCAAAGCTCTGTGCCCTGCTCAGCCCCATAAACATGCTTTATTTTGCTCACGGTGATTTAAAGTCGAAAGGGCTTTGCAGAATGCTGAACTAAGCTCTTGTTTTGTAAAATCAGGTCTAATTTTGAAAATGCCTTTATCCCCCCTCATATTTCTCTCTCAGAGTTTCCTAATCTTGTCACTCTGGTTCTGAGCATAACAATTAAACACACACTGTGTTTACAGATGCAAAAGCCATTTGGTAAAAATCTGAAAAGAGAAGGATTCTTTCCTCTTCAGAAAACCAAAGTGTACCAGAGCTTCTTATTGCTTGTCAGAGTCACTCCAAAGTTCCCAAAGCTGTTGTTAAATGCTGTGCTGCCCCTGGGGGGGCTGCCCTGCAGCTGGGTCTGTGCAGGAACATAACCCACATCTGTGAAAATCCACTGCCAGAGCAATGAAACTCCACAACATCTTCTGTGTTTTTCCCAGCACACTGCCAGCATTTCAGGATCCCTTTAAACATGTCTTTTTAGACATTTAATAAATTTTCTTTAGTAGGGAATAAAATTTACATCGCTTCAATTCACAGATGATGGCAAAACAAGTGACAGACCTAAACTTCTTCTGCTGTGACAAAAAACAGAAATCTTCCAAATCCTGTAAAGAGTTTTCTAAATTAAGTAAGAAGGTGATAAGGAAGACTTGAAGCACTTATACCACACCTCTAAATACCTTACATTAGAATAAAAAATAACACAAGACTAGACTTTGAAGACTTCCCTCAAACAACAAAAAACCCCACAACTTGAGTTGTTTTAAAGCAGAAAACTTCCTGTGATAGGGAACCTGCACTTCAAATTAGAATCTAACTGGGAATACTCCTTAAGCCATTACTCAGAGAAAAAACAGGGATTTTTGCACCCTTTTACTCATGTCAGCATAGCAAGAAGTGGCCTATTTTTGTCTATTGATATTAAGAAACTGAAATAATTATACTCAACCAAAAGTCTGTATAGGTAGACTGAGGTTAATTCCTGATGCTCTGACTACCCAGAAGGAAAGTTTCCCCTCAACAATTATCCATGAAATAGGTTTTCCTTTAAAGCCTGGAGTACACCTCTGAAAGAAAATCTCTCTTCATTTTGTATTGTGACATTATTCACCAAGCCAGCACACGTTAAATCTCTGATAGCCTGGGTAAATTCCATATGCACATCAGTGCCTGTGGCATTTCACAAAAGGTCAGGCTTGTTTAATTAGCAAGATACTGAAGTGGTCTTTAAAATATTTCAAGAATTCTAAATCCAGACTTTGATGTAAGAAATAATCATTTGCCTACCCACAATTCTTCAGCCTTTTATTTGGTCAGCAAATGATGTTGTTATTCATTTAAAATTGGTAACCTCTCCTCAAACTGTGTTTTTCTTGCTCTTATAAAACCCAGCATCAGCCATGTCAAGCCTGTCTGGTCAGGGTGATGGCTTTGGTAACAACCTTGTTCCCTAAACTTCCAAAGGAATTTAACAGCTCCCTGAAAGGGCTCAGGAATTCACCTCTACTGCAAGAGTGAAAGGTCATGGTGTGAAAAAGTCTCATCCTGGTGAAGTTATCACAGTTTGAAGAATAAGTAAAAAAAAAACCAAAAATGAAACAAAAAAAGAGAACCCCAAAGCAGCTCAGCCACCCCTCTCAAGGGAGGGAATTACCAACACTGCTTTGTCCTGGCTCATCTCAGCTGATTTAGGCACAAAATGAAGAGCTCAGATTGGGACTGTGGTGGTTCTGTGTAGTCAGAAGTCAGCAGGAGGAGCTGCATTTACTGATCCCCCAAGAGCCAGAGTAGAACCGTGCTGGATGCTCTGCAGCCACACTGCAATGTCACTGTGGTGTGGGGAGTCAGGGGGAGTCAGTGCCCCTGCAGCTCAGCTGTGCCTCTCACCAACCATCCCAAATCCCCTCTGGGCCACGCAGGGAGCAGGAATATTCCTGCTGCGTGCAAGACACCCGTTCTGGACACGAGGAATAGAGAAATCTGAGCAGCTGAATGCAGAGGAGAGGAGGGAGTTTGGGATTGGGAGGGAAGAATGGGGTAAGAGGATTCAAAGTCTGGGAAGACACAACAGAGCTGGGCACAGGATTCGGCTGCTGGCCATGCAAAAAGTGAGGGGGAGACAAATCCAGAAGGACTCCTGCCCTCAGAAGCAGCACTCCAGGATGGCTCCAACAAGTCAGGAACACTTCCAAGGAGCGCTGCTCCTGTGGTGCCAACAGCACCTGCCGGGAAAGGGCTGAGGAGGGGCTGGGATAACCCCCACGCCCTTCCCTGGTATCGAGGAAGGAATGGGAGGTGCTGGGGGGTCCCTGGCAGGACAGACAGACGTACCTTGGTGCCGATGATGGAGCGCACCTCGTCGTCAGGTGAGGTGGGGGTGCCGGAGATGTCGGGGTTGCTGTTGCTGAGGCTGCGCGAGCGGTTCAGGTTGAGGCTGGCGGGGCGCACGGCCGACCTGGCCATGGTGGCGTAGTGCACTGAGCCACCCAGGCCACCGGGACCTGCGGGGACATCTGCTCAGTCTGGCCACCCTCAGGACAGCCAGGCCTGTCTGGTCAGTGCGGCCATCCCTCACCCACATCCCCTCAGGACAGCCAGGCCTGTCTGGTCAGTGCGGCCATCCCTCACCCACATCCCCTCAGGACAGCCAGGCCTGTCCACTCAGTCCGGCCATCCCTCACCCAGACCCCCTTAGGACAGCCAGGCCTGTCCACTCAGTCTGGCCATTCTTCACCCAGACCCCCTCAGAACATCCAGCCCTGTCTGGTCAGTGTGTCCATCCCTCACCCAGACCCCCTGGGGACATCCAGCCCTGTCTGGTCAGTGTGTCCATCCCTCACCCAGACCCCCTCAGGACACCCAGCCCCACCCAGGCCTCCCCTGTCCGTTTCTCCAGCACAGAAATAAAATCTGTTTTATCCACTGGAAAGCAGGAGGCTCCCTGTGGGATTGTCTTTACTAACAGGATGTTTTGCAGACCTCACACTCAGAACCCAACAGAAGGTGGGCACAGTTTTAGGTGCAAAACCTTCCCAACACCTCTCAGAGCTTTCCCACTCTGTGCATGAACATTCCTTCCAAATCCTGCTTTTCCATGGCTGTCACTCACCCCACCTCTTTCCCATGCCTTGCTCTCAGCAGGGTTGGGATTAATTTGTTTCCCTCCTGTACCCAGACATGTGTTTTCTACTATCTTAGACTCCTGCTTTAAATATATAATGTCTGTATTTTATATGTATATATAAAATAAAAATATGTTTCATATATGTATGTATGTATATTTGTATGTATATATGTGTATATATATACATTAAAATACGTAAAATATTATATAAATAATAAATTCAATTAATTTAGGCTCTATTTCTGGAATCAGCCCAACTTTGGTAATCAATTGCAATGGTAACAAGAGCAGGTCTTCATTTAATTGATGGATAATACCCTTTGGATATCTATTCTATCCAGCCAGTGTTTAAACTTTTGCTGGAACTGGATTAAAGTATAAAAGTTCTTATGAAGGAGACTGGGAAACATGACAGGCCAGGAGTACATCACACCTGTCTCATAGAAAAAACCCCAAAACCCCACTTTTTTGCTGCAATTCACAATCATTCAGGAGTGTCAGTTACTTAAAATCATCAAATAATTAAATCTCTGACATGACTAATAGTAATTAAACTCATCTTTTAAGTGGCTACACTGGCAAATTAATAACAGAGCCCTGCAGGGAAGCAGCCATGCAGTTGGAGCTCAGGAGCACCTGCCAGCAAGTGGCTTCTGCCTTCTTTTAACAAATAAAATGAAATAAAATGGAAAAAAAAAAGCTACCTGGTGATGGTGAGTTGGGATAGGTGTTGGGTAGGCGAAAAACATAATAAATATAAGAAGCAAGAAGGCTGTTCCTGCCATGCTGGTCCTGGTTGCCATCCAAGTTCTTGTGAAGTCTGTTTATGATCGATGCCATCGCTTCAAAAGATGCTTGGCCCAGGTTAACTGAAAACAAAATGTGAGAGTTTGCTTTAGACTGCAGCAGGACCCAGGGGAAATCCTAAATGTGCTGATCATCCACCTGCTCTAGGGTATTTGGTGGAGCTCCTTAGAGCCTTTCTATCCCAAGCATTTCTATCCCAAACTGAGCCTGGTGTTTGAACCATGTCTAACCAGCCTGAGAGCAGGACAGCTGTTCCAGTGATCAACTTTTATTAATAATAAATTTAATGAATTTAGGCTCCATTTCTGGAACCAGCCCAACTTTAGTCATCAGCTGCAATGGTAACAAGATCAAGTCTTTGTTTAATTCCCTTTGGATAATACCCTTTGGATATTTATCATGCTTTTCTCAGGTAATTATTCCCTCTATTTAAACCTTAACCAAAATACAAACTGTATCAAAAGAATAATTTCATTTTGTTTTGAGGAAAAAGTTGTTCTGAAAATGAGCACAAAAATCTACACACAGACTGAAGCAGATATTCTAAAAAAATTAAGGATGGAGAATACAGTAGCTACAGAATAAAAACCTTATTTTAAATAAATCCAGTCACTAATGTCCGTAATATTCCACACAAACCAACTAAACCAATACAGAACACTGAAAGAGTGAAAGCACCTTAAAATATAAAATAAAGATGCAGGTAAATTCTTTCCCAGAAGGATTAAATAAATAAAAAACTTATATGACTAAGAAAATATTTTTACAAGTATTTTTAAAGCCGTCTTAGATCCTTATATTCCTCCATGTACAAATTCAGGTTTCCTACAAAAAAAAAATCAGCAAAACCTGCTATTTTAAATACTAAGGATCTAATCCTGACTTAAACTTGAGATTTGTTTGTACTCCCAAAGCTTAGCCCTTCACAGGGAGGAAAAGAAGGGATTATTCATGCTGGCAGTATCAGATCCACAACAGGAACATGCAGCATCTGTGTTTTCCTGCTTTATCTACTTCCAGATTTTCCAAGGTGACTAATAAGGTTAAAATCTCTTTTTGTCAGGATGGAGACACCTTAGCAAGCTCCAGTGCTAAAAACATGCTGAGCATCCAGGAAAATCAGGCTCTTTTCTGGTGGCTCAATTTGGACACCAAATTCCCAGTCCTTCCTTAGAAGCTTTCTATTAAATATTAAATATTGCTCCTGTGTATATCACCCCAGATCTGGATACCAGCATGTTTTATTTGGGAGACACTTGGTATATTAGTGGCACTAAAATAAAGCATAAAAATGGACTTTTTTACTTCAACATAAATATGATAAAATTGGAAGTGTCAAACTTTCAGCTATGTAATTCTCTATAAAACTTAAATAAAATACCTATTTGGCCTGCAATGACAGGAGGTCTTACTACCAGAAGGATCAGTTTGTCAAGCAGGAGATGAAGAAATCGCACTACCGGCTCCAGTTGAGAGGAATTTAAAGCTGAAATGCTGCTCTTCAGTTCATTTTCCAAGTTGTTTTCCATAATTCTCATGTCTCCTATTCGCACAGGGAACATGTGCTCATCCAGAGCATGGACAAGTGCAAAGAACTTGTCGAGGTAAGGGTCCTACAACAAGCAAAAAGCCAACAATCAGCAAGAATCTCTAAAATATCTTCATTTTCTATGGATTTGTGTTTCATGGGTGAGTTCTCACCCTCATTTTTCAATCTGGCCATTAAATCTCATAAAATTAGCAGAAATTCAACAGCTTTGAGAGATCTCTCCATATTTAATTCTAATTCTACTTCAAAAGTTATCAAGGCAAAACTAGAGGAGCCACAGACCGTGTATTCTTAGAAATACCAGACAAAAATGCACTAAAATCACATTACTATAAATATAATAAATATAAATAAATAAAACACAAAACACAAATAAAATATACAAACCCCATCAAAATGACACAGTGAGAATTAATAAAACAAAAGCTGAAACGATTAAACAAAATGACTGTCATCTTTATTTTCAGATCAAAGACAGAGGGAAAATACAGGGAGAAGCGAAAGAGGAGGGGAAAGGGAAGAACAAGAAAACAGAACAAAAAAAACAGAACAAGAAAACAAGAACAAGAAAACAAGAAAACACAATTTGCCTGGCTGTGTTAGAGCTGTTGTATCAAACACAACAGGCTGAGGTATGAGAACGCTGTTGGCCATTCACCCCCCAGTGAATAAAGGCCAAACCACTCATATTTTTTAAGCAGAACTTCTCAAATATACTCACAGCAGAATGTGGAAAAATGGGTGTGCTGGCTCAGAACTGAAAATGAGATTGGAATTTCACTACAAGGGATTGTTACACCCTTCAGAGCATCAACTCTGACAGTGTCTCAACTGTCAGGAGATTATTTTATTATTTTATTCCAGTGACTGCTCTTGACACGTACCTGAGTGTGGAGGGATGACACAGCAACAACTTCCACATTGAAAACCCCTTTGTGGTTATCCACCCACTTCATCCCAGGGAGGGGAACCTGCAGGTTGAGGGAAGAATGAGAGAGGATGTGACACAGAGCACAGCTTAGGCTCTGCTAATTACAATTTAATTTGTTTTCATTTATTTTGGTCAGATCACACACACACATAGCCACACACAAACACTAAAATTCTGTTTAAATTTAACGGTATTTAAGAAAGAAATAAATTCACACACACAAAATATGTACACACACATCATCTCATTTTTTCTCACGTGTCTTCTGCTGGTTTCCAGCAGGCAGAACTCAGCTCACCTCTGGAGAAAGCACTGAATAAGCCTGTGGTGGCTTTTCCAATGACACAGGAAGACAGAACTGACCCGTCTTTAACCGACCATTCTGAAGCATTGGGATCCACTAGGAAGAGAAGAAAACAAAACCACACATTTCTTAAGGATTGCCTTGAGCTTTGCCAATTTCTCAAGCTCTCCAATGGGATATGAGTTCACAGGGATGCTGAACAAAGAGCCAGCAAATGCATTTGAATGAATCCTGTGCTAAAAAATGAAAGGATGGGAAGACACTCACGGTGTAGCCGACTGGAGTCTCCAGGGGGGTGTTTTGTTTCTGTTGGCAACTGACGTGGTAGAAAGTAAAAAGCAGGTGGTGGTGGTCTGTCAAAGTGGCTGGGAGCTTAATCTTGATTTCCTCATGAAAATCAGGAGATCTGTGCAGAGAGCAGAGCCTCAGCTGAGTCACCCACAGTGGTTTGCTACCTTGTGCTCCAGACTGAACCCTTTGAGTTAAAGGATCTGCAGGGAAGGGAGCTCATGGGCCATCCCAAGGGACTGAAGTTCAGTTCCTGATCACCAAGGACTGGGAAAACTTTTAATCCACAAAAAATGGGCAGCAGCTTCCTCCTCACACAGGCACTCTGAACCACATGAGCAATAAACTCCTGTCTCAATGTGGACACTGCCCCAACCCTGACCTGCAGCACAGGAATCTCCCCTGGAACATCTCTCCCTGGCACAGCTGCAAAGCCAGGAAAATATTCCTGCTGGATTCAGCACTCCTCACCCCAGCTGCAATGGAATTATTTTCAAGACTAAGTAGTTCCAATTTGTAGCTGATGTCTAAAAGGCTCCAAGGAAACAACGGGGGCACCTGCTACCATGAGTTTGGAACATAAATCTTCATGACTGCTGACTGGAGTTGTACTTGGAGCATCTGCTGAGCTGGGCTACGTGCTCAGGATCACACAAAGCTGGTTTGTACCACAGCAAACAAAGACTCTGTCTCCCAGTGGTCACAAAACTCTTAAGGACAGCATCAACTGGCACTGCGGTCACTGTGAGTGCTGTCCAGACACTGATTGTTAAATAATTAACCAGTCACTGCTAACTGCCCTTCCACACTGTGTTTTACCTGTTGTGATACACCACAGCTGTGTATGCTTCTTTGGAAAACTCAGGACAGCTGGATTTGCCAAAGATAACCTGAAAAAGAGGAAAAAAACCACAGGAACCCCCCCTATAAAACTGTGCCAAGCATTTGTTCCATAATCCTGCAGAGACATTTAGAGCTCCATTTATTGTGCACCTGTACAGTTACACATCTGCTTCTTCCCTGTCCCTTCACTTACAGGCAGCACTTCACTCAGTCACTGAAAAGGCACAATTTTAACACCTCCAGGGACACATGGACACAGAAATGGCAGAACTGACAGATGGAACAACCCTTGCACACATCCTCTCTGAGTGGGGATCACTGCTGGCCCTGAACAAAGCTGTCACCTTCAATTCTTTTGTCATGGAAGCAAAGCTTCTATTCCCACCACGAGCAGTGTCTGCTGTGAACACAGAACCCCAGAACGGGTTGGGTTGGAAGGGAATTTAAATCCCATCTCAGGTTTCAGACAGGGACACCTTCCATTATCCCAGGCTGCTTCAAGCCCCATCCAACCTGGCCTTGGACACTTCCAGAGATGGAGAATCTCTCTGGGCAACCTCTGCCAGGGCCTCACCACCCTTATAATCAACAATCTCATGTTAAAATTCCAGCTGCTCCACTCTTACCTTACAAACTCTACACAGATGCACTCTTTGCTCTGAAATACAATTTTCCATTCCTCTGACCTTGTTCTTTTGAAATGCATTTCAGTGAGGTTTTAACACAGGGGTTTCCTGACTGCAAGGAATGCTCTGCCCTCCCCACAGAGCACAGAGCAGTCCCCTCACCTGCATGGCATTGCTGGGATCCTCTCCATACATGAACTGCACTTTCACTGTGATGTTCCTGGCAGATCCCTGGCGGTTGGCAAAGTTAAGGCTCTGTGGATACACATAAAGGAGATTCCTGCAAGAGACAAAGGCAGCAGGTGATGAGAGGGGTCACACCTTCATTAATGCTGTTATTTAAACCTCTGTGGAAAAGCTCAAAGTGAAGGGTTTGACATTTTTCATTCTCTCAGGTGCAGTTCACACCCAGACAAACAATTTGGTAATGACCCCTTATTTCAGACATCAAAAGATGTAAATTTTTAACTTTCATCATATTTTGAAACAGTTCTTGTTTGGAAGGGTACTTAAACCATCTAAAAATTTCCCAGTGATTCTACAATCTGAGGAGTTCAAGTGGAAAGAACACATATGAATACAAAAGTTTTATTTACTTGCACTCTATATACTTTATTTGCTCAACACAGAGCAGCTGGTTTCTGTTAAATACCTTCCTTCTTGTGCCCTGTCCTTTTTTTTTCTTTTCTTTTTTTACATCTCCTGACATCAGGATGACTTCAGGTTACATTTCTCCTCTGAAAACGGATTAAACTAAATGGATACATGTAGCTTCAGGTAATGACAACACTCCCAGGTATCTAAAGAACTATTTCAAAGTCTGAAGTAATAAAGCGCTCATCACATCCACAGGGAATGTGGCAGGACATAATGGGAGGAAATTGCAGCACAGGAGATTTAGGTGAGGCACAAGGGAAAATGTTCTGGCTGTAAGGAGAGTTAAAGCAGTAGAACAAATTGCCTTGGAGGCTGTGAAACTTCCATTTTCTGGTGGTTTCTCAGGCCACGGGATGCAGACACTCTCCAGATGAGTTTAAAGACAACCTCAACCTTCACAGGGGCAGGGGACACATTCTGGAAACTCCTTCCAGTCCTGTTTCTCCAAGTCTGTGATTAACAGCCACGAGAGATGCAAAATTCTGCAGTATTTTCTGTCCTCTGAGCCCTTCTGGGCCCTTGCCAACAAGGTAAAAGTTGGATTCACACTTCATCAGCAAAACTGTCCACTACAAACCCCTACCTGTCCTTTGTGCAAGCAATTCAGACCTACACAAAGTTCCTTGATGTTCTTTTAAAGAATAAAAAAAAAAAAGCAATGTCCCCCACAGACTTTTCCACCTCAACATTCAGTTTTTCAAAGGAAATGAACATTCTTTTGCTGCCAAACAAGTCTAAATGTATGAATTGTTACACATCTTTAAAAAACCAACCTGGAAATCCCCAATCCATCTCCCACACAGCCCTGCCCAGCACAGCAGCATCATTCCTCCTTGGCCAGCCTGGCTCCTGCAGCTCCAGCCAGGGGATCCAGGAGGGATGAGTGCATGGAAGCTCAGGGAAGGATAAAGGGAGCTCCCAGGGATACAGGACTGGCACTCTGCATTCTGCCCAAACACTGCAGAAACAACCCTCTAACACCCCTGGCTTGTGAGGCAAGAGGAAAAAGAGGTTCCCTTCCCTCTGGGAACTATTTTGTGGGTTTGAACACAATTTGTAAGTAGTTTCCAACTGTTCCTTGTCCCAGAGAGCCAAGAGATGCCAGATGGGCTCAGAGAAGTGAAGTGAGGAGCACAGCAGGACAACATTTAAGGCACAATAAAGCAGCTGCTGTCGAGTGCTGGCAGCAGGAGGTTGATAACAAAAAGACTCTTTTTTGGATTCTCAGGAGGGCAGTAACTCAGGGAAGGTACCTGGTGCCTTTTAGATGCCAGGAGTTTCCAAAACACCTGCACTAGTGGGACACACTCCTGGAGGAGCAGCTGCAAAGGGAAGCTGCCCTTGGCTGCCTGAAATGGCAACTAATGACAATATTTTGGGCAATGAATCCCACCCAAGGACTTGGTTCTGATGGCAATTCCATCTGCTCCCCAAACAGTCCCATCTACACAGACACAGCTAATGCTGATCCTAAGGAATTCCCTAAGAGCAGTCCAGCTCCAGGGATATTTGGGGCAGCCTTATGAACCAGGCTCTGCTTCACCCCTGCAGGCAGAGGAATAAGCTTAGCAGGCAAGTGGGAATTTCTTCCCTCTCAAGTCCTTCATGCTGAATTAAGTTTTTGAATCCCATCCCCACTGGTCACTTTGCCAAATCAAAGCTCTCCTACTATTTCAGAGGGGGCCAGGGCCATTTTTGTGACTCTCCTAAATTACTTTGTTCTGCCATGAATACATTTGCTGCTTGATGATCTTTTTAAAATGAAAATGGATATGAAAATTTACTCTAAAATGTACCTTGCTCATAAAACTTTTATTAAGTATTATTAGTGCTTAAGAGAAGGATTTAAGGTATTTGTGAAGCCAGGCTACAGGATCCCTATATTAAAGGCAGGATTGATTTGTGCTGAGGAAAGGGACAGGTTGTTCCCCTCTCCACTGCTTTTCAAGCCCTCATTAAGGGCATTTCACTGGGAAGAAGCTCTTGGTGCTTATGGGATTTCAGATGCACAGATCCCACTGGAATAGGGGACAGGGGAATGCTCCCCCTGTTCAGGCAGCCTCTCTCCAGAGGGTTTCCTATTACAGGCATCTTCCCTTTGTGGAAAACTTACGGGGAAAGAAGGGAAAAAATGCCCAGCTTGCAAATCAGACCCCAAATGGAAAAATCCTGCTTTACCTTACCACAGAACCCCAGACTGGTTTGGGCTGGAACAGATGCAAAGATCACCTAATTCCAGGAAGAGATGTAAAGATCACCTCATTCCACCCCCTGCCATGGCCAGGGACACGTTCTATCGTCCCAGATTTCTCCAAACCCTGTCCTTGGACACTTCCTGGGATGGGGCAGCCACAGCTTCTCTGGACAAGCTGTGTCAGGGCCTCACCACCCACACAGAAATTAATTTATTCCCAGCATCTAATCTAATCTAATCTAATCTACACCTACTCTCTTTCAGGTTAAAACCATCACCTCTTGTCCTGTCACTCCAGGCCATTGTCCCAAGTCCCTGTCCAGCTCTCCTGGAGCCCCTTTAGGCACTGGAAGGGGCTCTGAGATCACCCCAGAACCTTCTCTTCTCCATCCCCAGCTCTCCCAGCCTCTCTTCTGCCCTACATAACTAAAAATCTCACATCTTCCTGTCTAAAGACAGTGACAAGAGCCATGGAAAGGGACTGGTGGCTGAAAAAGCGACAGGGACATTATAAATGTCTTGATTTCTATCAATAAAAGCTTCAGGCAGGAGCTTTAAAGCCAAGGGTTTGTGTTTAGAGCTGTCATTAAAATGCTACGTCAAATACGTGCAAAGCTCATCCTATTATCTCAAACAGATCTCAAAAGTACTTTTACTTTCATAAAATAAATTGCTAAAGTGCAAAGGCTTCCCAAGCCATGGAAATAATGGCACCAGGCATTCCTCTAAATATTTATGTAATATCATTGCAGCCATTTTGCAAAATCCTTCACAAAGGTATTAAAACATTAAAAGCTGCTCCTAACTCTTAGAGGGAATTTCTAACTATTATGAAAATTTCCCTTTTCAGTAAAACCCAGAGACCTTTTTCTTTGCTTTATTCCTACTATAAAAATCATTTAAAGCCCATATAATCAGGGTCACCCAGGTGCATGAAAGATCTTCAGGATCATGTTTGTTATATACATCTTTTCCTGACTGGGCTGACAACTCTCAGAGGCAAGATTCCCTCTTAGTGTTTCCACAGCTATTGAATTTTATGGTTTATTCATGCCAGCAGCTTTTCTCCTCTCTGCTTTCCTGTGTCCCACTTTTCTTCTGGAAAAGTGGCTTTTTTCTGGGGTTGTTGTGACATCTAGGGGTGTTCTGGAGTGAATTTAGCACTGCCTGACTTCACTGGCCTTGGCATTAATATGGAAAGGTGCTTGGCAGCTAATTAGTGCTTTATTAATATTTGATATCAGGGCCTTTTGGCTGCCTTTTCCCTTTGGAAAATAAACCTTTTCCATAGGTACTGTCATCCCTGAGCAGCACCAGGAGCACGTGGGACACAAGCTGTAGAAACCTGGTGGAATGTCTGATCCCCACTTGCTTGGTCATTGCTATTTCTTGAGTAATTCCCATATTTTTCTAAAGACTAAACCAAGAAGAAAGATTTTTGGGGGGTGATGGGGTTAGGAAAAATTCAAAGTAAACCAGAAAGATTTCTTGCATGAAATAGTTAAAAAATAAAATGCTTTATTTGAAACCACAATAAACCAAAGCCACCTAAATACTGTGAAATAGATTGAAGAATGTCTATACATTTGTTTTGGGGTTTTTTATTTTCAAATTTTACAACCAGTTCTTCAAGTTTTGCAGCCCAAAATCCCTGTGTCAGATGCCAGAGAAACAATTCAGAATTGTTTTGAAGGAATCCCTATTCTGCCCAGAGCTGGGCCTGATCATCTCCCTGCTTCTGCTGTTTTTCCATACCTCAGGTACTCCAGTAACTCTAATCCCAATCATACTGGCACAAAATATTCCCCAGCAATTAATATGACATCTAAAATACTTTCACAGTATTTAATTGTGAATGGGAAGGTTACCTGCATATTACCAACCCCTGAACACACAAAAAGTTCAACATATGAGGTAAAAATTTCATTTTTTAAACATTTTTTTCTATGGATGCTTCATACCATACGTGCGTATGTACACGAAGAACACAACAAAAAGTCCATGGGAAGAATTCCTAAACATGCAAGAATTTAGCAAAAAACCTGAAAACTCTCCAAAGTACATTGTGCAATGCTTGATTTCGATCTCTTGGATTGCTTTGAATGAGTCCAAAAAGAGAAATACCTTTCACTCACAATGCAGTACTACCCAAAACCCTCCATGTTTCCATGTAGAACTGGGCATTTATTTCAGAGCACTTGCAGTCTTTTTTTATGCAGTGTGAATCTTAAACAGCAAAAAGAATGGTAAGGTGAGAAATGCAAGCGAGGTGTTATTTATCTCACCCACCTCTGGAAAGCAGCTCTTAAAAAATAAGTTTTATATGGTGTAAATTACTGCACAAACCTTAACACAGCAGGATCACATCCAGGCAATCTCTGGACCTAATTCCCTCTTTCTCACTTAATCTGGGCTCGATGACAAGTAAATCCACTGCAGCACAATGAGTTACATCAGAAAATGGCCCCAGATGAAAATCAAGTTGTGTGAATCATCTGGGAATATTTTGCCCTTCCACAGCTCATCAAGGAGCTTCACAAGCTGAACATCCAAGTGCTCTCAAACATGGTAAAATCCTTTCACCCTCCTGAGGCAATAAAGGGAACCAAACAACACAAACAAGGAGCGATTTAAACCCTTACCAAGATTATGACCCAAAATTAATCTATTAAAAAGAGTTGTGTGAAAAACACAGTGCCATTAATAACATTTTACACCAGAAGGCCTGGCAGATGGAAAAGTTCAGAAGCAGTTCAATCAGCAACGTGCCCGTCTCTCAATTTTATCTTCCCAGGTATCAACCTACATTCAGGAGGGGTTACACTCGTTCAAGCACACACAGTTTAATGATCAACCCGCTGCTCTGCCTCTGCTAAAATGAAGAGGGGTATAAATAGATCGAGTTCTGCAACCCAGAACAGCCACAGAGCACAAGCTAGCACTGGGAAAAGTCTCTGCCTCCAAGAGCAGGAGAGATGAAGATCATCCCAGTTTTCCTTTTGCTGGTCCCCCTGGCTGTCCCAGCTGGAGCTGACAAGGATTTTTATTCCGTTGGTTCCGCCGGATCTCCGGAAACAAAATCGAGATTTGCGATGTTGGACGATGTCCGGATCCTGGCCAATGGACTCCTCCAGCTGGGCCACGGCCTCAAAGACTTTGTCCACAAGACCAAGGGGCAGATGAATGACATCTTTCAGAAACTCTACATTTTTGACAAGTCCTTTTACGAGCTCTCCCTGCAAACCAGCGAAATCAAGGAGGAAGAAGAACAGCTCCGGCAAACCACGGCCAGGCTGCAACTCAACAACGAGGAGATAAAGAACCTCTCCCAGGAGATGAACCTCAAGATTGAAGACCTCATCCAAAACAAAATCCAGCTGCAGGAGCAAGTGTGGGGACTGGAGGACAAGGTCACCAAGCTGGCCATCATCCAGCCTTCGGTGCAAGAGACAAAAGAAATTTCTTCACTCAAAGTAAGTGATTTGTGAAAGGCCCTGACACATTGAGCCAAAATACACTGCAATGACATTATCAGTAATTATGCAATAGAAGCTCATGCTTTCCCTTCCTCCTCACTGGTGTACTGGTCTGCATTTTGAGAAAGAAATCACTGACATTACCTTTAAAAAAATCACTGTCTTACCCTGACACAGTTCATTTTGCAGTTAAATTCCCCAGTGAAACTAGTGAAAAACGGTGACATTATAAAGCTCTGTATTATTTTCAGTATTCATTTGCAAATCAATTTTAAGAAATTTTGTCATCACAATGATAAAAAAGTTTTGCAATCAGGAAAATTATGAGATTCCCAAGCCCATGGGTTTGTACATCACCAGCTCATCCCAAATCAATGCAGTGGGAACTGCCTGCTCAGTGCAGAAACAGGGAGGTTAAACCTTTAGAAAATGGAATTTACAGCATCTGTAGGAGCTCCAGAACCAAAGAACCTTACAAGTGTTAACAAAATTAACATGTTAATCATGCAAGTAGTTAGGTGGGTATAGGATTTTCTGTAGAAAAGAAAACATTAACTGTATTTTGCAGAAGTATAAAAAGGCCAAGCAATTTGTATTGGAAAATACTGGATGTTTTGAATTTGAATGAACTTGAATCCCAAGCTGATATCCTAAATGCTGGGAATTTTTCCCTTTTTTGATCAGTGCTGTGTATCTAGTTTGAATCAAGGGCTGATTCCACAGAACATAATTGTTCTAGATGTGAAAATGGAAGGAAAAGAGCAATTAAAAAAAGAATCTACAGAGCTGCCAGTAGTTTGTCTCAAAAAAAAAAAAAAAAAAAAAAAAAGGGTGTTTGCTCCAGAAGCAAAGAAATTTTTCAATTTGTAGGCAAAGCAGGCAAACCTTTGGAGCTGGACTTTGATGATCCCTGTGGGTCCCTTTCAGTTAGGGATATTTTAGGATTCTCTGGAAAAGGAAGGGCAAAGTTCAATGGTTTGTGCCTCTCAAAACTGGCCCCAGGACAAGAGTTACAGAGGCAGAACCACTGCTGAAGGTTTTCTGCTGCTCCTAACCCTCCTCCATCCTTCCCTCCCTGTGCTCAGGCCTTCGTGGAGCAGCAGGACAGTGACATCAAGCAGCTCCTCAAAATCGTGGAGGAGCAGCACATGCAGCTGGACAGGCAGCACAACCAGATCATGGAGCTGGAGGACAAGGTACAGGAACCACCCCTGCTCCTCCTTCCATCTCTGACACTGAGCTGAGGTTCCAACCCTTGGGGTCAGGCACCCCTTGCTCAGTTTGGGGTGGAGAAGAAGGTGGGGACCATTCTGAGGTACCTGTTTCGGGGAGAGGCTGCAGGGCTGCCAGGCAGGAGCTATGGCCAACACTGGCTTTGAGATCCTGCCTCTCAACATCAGGCTGCTGCATTTTCTGACTGCTAATCTGGGATTTTTTTTCTCTTATTATCTATCAGATAGGTAGATAGGTAGATAAGATAGACAGATAGATAATTCTTCCATTGGTCTGGAAGACTCATTGTTTTCTACCTCTTTCCTAATTTCCAAAATCCACTCCCAGAGTGGAAGTCCAACTTCCACTGTATGTATCACTGCAATACAGTAAAACCAACATGCTCAGATTTAATTTATTCTGAAAGGAAAATGCATTTCAGCCTAAGGACCTGTGGGTTCTGTCCTCCTTAGCTGTTGGTATTGTCTGAGTGATGTCACCTGAGGAAATAAGTTAAATCTGTTTGCCCATCATGCACCACATGAGAAAGGGTAATTTCCACCCCTCATGAATCCTACCCTGTCAGAGCAGTGGCACAGTTGGCATTCCCACACCTAAAATCCACCAGTGTGCAGCTGAAGTTATTTTTATGTGGTAAATTGGATATTCTACAGGATTACACTCGCAAGAAAAATTATTCTCTGCATGACATTGTCTTGATCCATGAACCTCATCATTCCAGAGCCTTGGGAAATTAACAGTGTAATTATGGCTCTTCCAGCTAAACCACATCGAGGTCCAGGAACTTCTGGAGAATTCCTTCACAGGAGAGGAGCAGGAAGCAGAGCCCATCCCCTCTGCTGTGCACAGGCCCACGGCTGGGACATACAGAACTGATGGTGAGACCCATGTCTGAGACCTGACCACAGCACATGCTGCCCCCCACTATCCTCTGGGACAGCCTTGCATTGGTTTTTGGGAGTCTAAGACTAAAAGGAGGAGATTTTTTTATCTGGGCTGTGGGAAGGAACGAGAGTTCCTTCTTTGGAAAAAATGTCATTATCTATTTAGCCCTACTCCAGCTGTACTTGTCTCTGGGGTGACACACAGGAACAACGTCCAAAAATGCAGTAACAGGATCCATTCCCCTCTTGTAAACATGCTGTGACCATGCTTTTACCCATGTCTATCTTGTGGAGCCTGAACAGAGAACTAATTTACTCCACACTGGATAATTATAAGATTCAGAAGTCCTTTCTTTGAAGTTGAAAGGCACTGATGAAGTGCAGCAGTGAGCGTGGTATTTACTAGGAACTTTACAAGGGCTAGGAAAGCCTATTTGCCAGAGTCTAGTCTTAGGCCTTAGAAACTTTCCAAAATCCTCCAAATTGGAACCCTGCCTAACTCAAAAAACACAGGCAGACCAACCTATGCACTCCTTGGCTGCTGCACTGTTATGCCCAAAGCAGTCTGCCCATTCCATGCCATTTATTGTAAAATAAAATTACCAATATGATCACTGCCATTTTCTGTCTTTAGCTCTCAGCTCAGCACACCCCAAGCAGGATTTCTAACAGGCTGTTTGCTTCCCCAGGTGCTGCTGCTGACTGCACTGCTCTCTACCACACTGGGACAGTGCAGGACAGTGGGGTCTACACTATCCAGCCCAATGGCTCAGAAGCTTTCAATGTCTACTGTGAAACAAAATTTGGTAAGAGCTGTGCCAGCAACAATCTAATTTTCACAGAAATATCTCCCTCTAAGCCAAACAACTTTGTCTTCTCCCAAAGTACACAAAAACTTATGATTTATGTGTCCTCTTGACTTCTCTTAGTGGCCTGTCTGAAGTCAGGTTTCCCATATCCTGAAATCTCCTTATCACTGCTCCCATTCCTTACTCCCCTCTTGTTTATACTGAGGAAAGGACATTCAATTGTGTGACATAAATTAAGGATATCCACATCCCAAGCCCCTTTAGCTGTAGGTAATAAAACTGGTCATTATAAAAGCCATTACAGTGCAACCATGAATGCATTTCCCTAAGACAAGCAAACAGCAAACAATTTGCTTTTACAAAAGTAAAATTTTATTCATGAACAGGCTCTGCTTTAGACTGAGCTGTGCCAACCTAACCCAGAGCAGTGAGTCCTGGGACAGGATTCCTGTGCCACGTTTGGGTGGCTCAGCAGCCAGCAACACAATTGTCACATCACCTACCTGAGCTCCACCTTCCTAAAGACCCAAGTTTGTTCCTTTTGCCACCAAGATCACCCAGAGCTCGTCCAGTTCCCTCATTCCCTGCTTTCCCTGCCTCCCCAGAGCTGCTCTGTGCCTGTCCCACGTCCCCTTCCCTCTGCTCTCAGAGCTGGGGAGCACGTGGGGCCACCACACGTGTTTGGATGTGCAAACAGAGCTCGCAGGGCTGCCCTCTGCTAAATCCTCCTTTGCTGACCCTTGCTGGGGCTGCTGGAGTGAGGGTGTCATGACCTGGGGCCAGGTCAGCAGGAGACCCCCCTGGAGCTGCAGTGGGGACCCCGGAGCTGTGCCAGCAGCCAGGCACTATCAGCAGACAGCCTGACCCCGTGAGCTTTGCCTATCTCCTCTTTATCAGCTCCTCTGTCTCCCAGCCCTCATAAACAAGTGAAACCCAGTTAAGGCAGCCCCAACAGAATAATTCTGGGAGTCACCCCGAGTGGGGCCGAGGACACTCAAACAGCCCTGGGTTCTCTCCAGTTATCTCCAATTTTAATTCCCTTCATAAAGAGTTTAATTAACTCATTCCACCTCGAAATGGGAGCATCCCAGAGCACAGTCAGGGACAGGTAATGAGGCCAAGGCCAAGCTGTGATTTATTTCCCCTTTTCACAGGCACATCCTGGACTGTAATCCAGAGGAGAGTGGATGGATCACTGGATTTCAACCAAACTTGGGATGCCTACACCAATGGTTTTGGTGACCTCAATGGTAAATATCCCTTTTTTTGTGTCTCTTGGTATCAATTGTTTTGAGAAGCTGAATCTCCTTATGGAAAGGAAAGCAGACTAAACCTGTAAATAACAGCTTGGCAATTGGCAATACCAGAAAGTGCTAAGTAGAACACATAACTCTGGAATTCTCAAAGCCATCCCTTCAAACATGTTTAGAAACTTAAGCAAGGCCAGAATGCTTTAAACACTATTTTATCAAGATTTTACTATTTATAAAAGCACCTCCCAAATATACACAAAGGCAAAACCTCATGAAGTTGCTGTCACTACTTGCTCAACCTTCCTGCAATCCTGTTACCCTTCAAACCACATCAATTTTTCCAGCCTCAGGAGAGCCCAAGGCTGTGTGTGCTCCCCTGAGCAAACACCTCAGGCTTCTCCAGAGTGGCCAATCCCCTCCATGGCTGCATAGGGTGAGGAAACACCCACATTCCCCTGTTAATCATCAACTCCAAAGAATTTGTAGCACCAAGTGCTGCCCAACAGCTTCCTCATCCAGAATATTCTCGTTTTTCTCATATGAGATGAGTGACCTCTTGTTTAGGAAATATTCTGACTTTCTAAGCATAGCACAGATCTAAACATCACCAAGGTGAGCAGCAACACTGTTTTATTTCCTCATCTTTTATAATAAAGAGCTGCTGTATCTCAGCCTTTCCCTCAATTTTGGGACAGGAGCTCAAAGCTGAGGTAGATTTTCACCTGTAAAGTTTATCTGATCCTGCTGGATGCTTTAGTGGCTCCTACATTGGTGTCCCAATTCCCAAATATTATACCAAGATGCAGCCAAATGTTTTCAGTGTTGGGTTTTGCACAGAATCTCAGTGCTCTCAGCTATGTCCTACTCAGTGCTCTGCTGCATCTTCTGAGGTGATAAAATAAACCAGGTTACAGCTCCTAACCTGGAGCTGTAAATTAGGGAGTATTTTCTTCAACCATCTTGTCTTCCATGGCTTCAAATGCCAGCTGTGTGCACAGCACTCACATTCAGCCCCACTTTCTACATGTGGCAATTATCTGTGCTGATAATAAGCTACTTAATGAATATAATATATTAAACCAATTAAACTAATGATCAGAAATTCCAGCAAAAGAAAAATTCCCTTTGTACATGAGGGTGTTGAAACCCAAGTTTGGTTCTGCAGCTCTTTCCTCCCAAAATGCAACAATTGCCATTAGGTTTTATGTATGTCACTGGCTTCATTTGTCACACACTTCCAATTACACACTTTTTAAATGTCTCCAGTTCCCTCTCAGAGTTTCACACGAGGTGGGAAACTTACAGGGGGAAGCTCCAGTTCATTTAGAACTCTTGCTTTTATTGATCATCAGTGTGCAATTAAGCAGAGGTAAACAAAAAGAATGTAGCAGCAGACCTCTGCAAAGATCAACAGTCCCCAAGACTCAAATCACCGATTTAATTAAAGCAATTAATAAAGCCTTTTAAATACTGTATTTCCACACACACTACCTGCAGGTTATCCCTAAAATCCAACTCAGCATCTCTTCCCTCCAACTTTGCAGAGGAATTCTGGCTGGGCCTGAAGAAGATTTACTCCATCACCAAGCAGGGGAGTTACCTGCTGCGGATCGAGCTGCAGGACTGGAGGGGGAACAGGAGGCACATCGAGTACAGCTTCAGCCTGGGGGGCCCCAGCTCCAATTTCAGCCTGCAGCTGTCCAGGATGGCTGGGAGCATCCCCAACGCACTGCCAGAGCACACAGAGCTGCCCTTCTCCACCAGGGACACAGCCAGGGGCTCCAGCTGCCCTGAGAACCAGCTGGGTATGGTCCAAAGGGGGCATGGGAACTCCTCTGCCCCATGGGATGGGCTGGGCTGGGCTGGGAGGGAGCTTAAAGCTCATCTTGTTTCAATCCTGATGCTTTTCCACTATCCCACGTTGCTCCAAGCCCTGTCCAGCCTTGGGATGGGGAATCCTCAATCTCTCCATAAACCTCTGCCAGCCCCTCACCACCCTCACTGGGAAGGATTTCTTCCCAGTATCCCATCTAATCCTGCCCTCCCTTGCAAATGACCAACTCCAGAAACAGAACAGGCAGCACAGGCTGAAATAACCCCCAGGATGAGATTCCAAACTCTCGAGCAAAGGGCTGTCCCTTCCCCTGATGCCTGGTCTGCTGTGGCAGCCCTAGGCTGGATTGTTTGATCCCTTTTTTGCAAAAAAACTCAAAGATGAACTCAAAGACTTCTAACTCCACTTAGGCTATAACCCAAAAGTTAATAATGAGTGAGTTTCCATTCAAAGGCAGATTTTAGCTGCTTGTCAAATATACACAAAATAATCACTCTCAAAAGGGCAAGAGATGCAAGGCTGAGGCCATTTCTCATTTGAGATAATTTGGTTAAAGAGTTCTTAATTCTGCTGAGAAAAGGAGGCCCGGGGGGGCCCTTCTGGCTCTGCACAACTCCCTGACAGGAGGGGACAGCCAGGGAGGGTCAGGCTCTGCTCCCAGGGAACAGGGACAGGAGGAGAGGGAACAGCCTCAAGTTACACCAGAGGAGACTTAGATTGATATTTGGGAAAATTTCTTCATGGAAAAGGTTGTTCAGCCCTGGCACAGCTGCCCAGGGTGGTGGAGTCCCCATCCCTGGAAGGACTTAAAATCCATGTAGATGTGGCATTTGGGGACATGAAGCAGTGATGGCCTGGCAGTGCTGGGGAATGTTTGCACTCCCTGACTTTAGAGGACTATCCCAACCCAAACAATTCAGTGATTTGGGAATCCTGGGTAAACAATACCAATTTAGCTGGAATTTAGGGTCTGAAGCAGATTTAATTTTGCAAAGAGGAGCTGCTTCCTCTGCCATAGAGCACAGAGTGTCTGACATTCCCACGTTGCTCCTCAGGAGGCTGGTGGCACAGCGAGTGTGAGGAAACCAACCTGAACGGGAAATATGTCACACCGAGGTCCAGGGGAAGGCTGGACAGAGGAAAAGGCTTATACTGGAAGCCCAAGAAAGGAAGGTACTACCTGCTCAAGTCAACCAAAATAATGATCCACCCAACAGACTTAAAAAGCTTTGACTGAGTGCTCAGCCTGCAGCGTTTTCACTCAGAACAAACACACTGAACTTTACCACACCGAAGGACTTGATGCTGTGTTTACCAACAGATGCCATGTCCCAGTCCATGCCCTGCATGGAATTTCTCCAAAACATAAACCTGAGGCATCTGAGATGGTCTTACAAAATGTTTGGTGAGTATTGTCATTCCCTCAAGCCCCAATGTCGATGTGCTGCAATTTCTTGTGGAGCTTTTCCCTCCCCAGGATGAAATTCTAATGCCTAGGAGCCAACCTGTCACATATTGGATAATATTGTTTGGGGGAATGGGTTTTCAGGCTGTGCATTCCTTTGTGGGTTGTGTAGTAGTGAAAACAAGAAGTTTTTTCCTGGGAACAAAGGGCTGGCAAAACCCTAGAGAAAACATTTAGGAAAAAAAAAAATTTTGTTTCTTGAAGTAACTAACTGAATGTTTGTGTTTTTGTTGTGGAATGCTTTAGGAGTAAATGAAAGATGGGTAATTCCTGGTTTTAGGGCTCTGGGTATTTCCAGTCAATTTTCCAGGATGTAGCTGAGGCCAATCCACCCTCTCTGGAGCACAGGGAGCCAGAGCAGCCCTGCTCCTCTGGAGCCCACACTCTGCACAGTCACTGCAGAACTGGGGCTGTCACTGAGAGTGAAGAGCCAAACTTCACTGAAAGGAGGAAGAGATCTGCTCTCCTCACCTGCAATGAATCACAGCCAAGCCTTTGTGACCTTTCAGTCCAACCAACTAAGGAATTAAATAAACAACCAAGTGAGCACACAACAAAAACACCCTTCACGTAGGGAGCAGCTGCTCCAATGGGGTCAAGGGTGCCAACCCACAAACCCAGCAGGCACAAGCCACGGGACAGGGCTGGTCCAGCTCCTGGGGACACTCACACGTTGAACTTCAGCTGCAGAACACTGAGTGACAGCCTTGGGCTGGCTCTGGAAGTGCTGACTGACAAAGCCCCAATCCTGCAGTTCCCCTGAGTCATATTGACTTGTTTATCTTCCCCAACCCTTGTACAGCGTGGATTTTTTTTTTATCTCAGCACTCACAATCACACAGGAAATGGTTTTGGTTGTAATTTGTCAAGAGTGAAACCCAGTGAATAGAATGTGTTAATTACAGAAATGCTGCAAAAAAAAAAAAGTCGTTTTAATTCTCATGGGTTTGTAACAGAGATGAGATCATGCAGTGGTGCTTATTTGTACTGGTTTACTGTAATGTTAAATTACCTGTTCAATAAATAAATAGACAAATAAATAAATGGCTGAGACTTTTCAAAATATAGTATATGGAACTTGACTAAACTCTTCTTGTAAACTTTGATTTATAAAAACCGGGTTTGCATCTAAATTTAAATAAAGGATTTTCTAAGTTGGTAAAATTACTCAGCTGATGAAGACAATTCCACTCAGCCATGTAATGAAAAAAGCTTTAAATTAATAATGAAACAAAATGAAAAGAAATATGGTCCCAGCCTGGGTTTTGTTATAGAAAGGCTATTGTTTTCCAAGATATTTAGAAAGATTTCCTATTTTTCAGGGCTTCAGAAGATTTTTTGTCAAGTATTGTAAACAAAGAAATTGCTTGGAAATCAAAATATTAACAAAGGGATTATGCATTTTCTCTATTTCTATCCCTCACTTTAAAGAAATAAAGAGAAATAAAGTCACTGAAAGTGACATAAATTAATAAAACCAATAAGAGAATGGTGACTGCAGCAAAGGAAAAACCCTACATAGAATTGAATTTCACCAAATTCCACCCCAAATTCTGAGAAATGGAGAAACCTCTCCCATGTTCTTATTCACAGCCAAGTTTGATGCAAACCTGTTTGTCCTTCCCCAGCTGAGCCTTTTCTGCTGTGTCAGCCTCAACCCTTCCCATGCCTCTGGCCATAAACCAAATCTTGCATCAACCTCACTGATAAGGGAGGAATTTCTACACTTGGCAGTCTCAGGCCCTGAAAAGCGAAATGGATTTCAAAACTCTGACCTGTATGTGGTGTTTGGGACGTAGACATCCCTGGCAGGGAACTCCAGGATTTCTCTGGTAGGTCTGACTCTGCTGTCTGGGTAAAGCTTGACTTGCAGCAGCTCTGGGGTTAGGCAGTAGTGGGGGTTCTCTGGAGCTGGAGATATGTCTATCTTCAACTGAGCTGCAAGGAAAAAAAAAAAAAAAAGAGATTAATTAATAAATACAAATTAATTTTTAAAAGCATGATTGTGCTTTGTTTCTTCAGGTTAATATCCTATATATTCATTGACATCCTATGTCTGAATTTAATAAATCAACAAATGATAAATTACAGCCAAAGTGGATTTGTTGACAAGTATCAGTGGATCCAACTGATATCTAAGGCAACTGGGGGACCAGATAATAAGAACCAACAGAAAATAAGCATCTTAACGAGGAATAGATGCTTTTTTCATAGGAAAACTGAGGAAATGCAGCCCAAATAATGCTGCTATGAGGCCCAGCCATTATTACAAACACAACTCCATCAGAGGAAAGGCTGAAAAATCCTGAGATTGGTCAGGCTACAAAACAGAGGTGAATTGGGTGAAATGATCAGAGCAGGCAAGTGCTTGGAAGGTTGTGGCCACTGCCCGAGGCCATGGCAGACCAGATTAAGATTAATTTGCAGCAAGACAGTTCTGCAAAGTTTTCTTAAAACCTAAGCTGGCTGCAAGGCCAGCTGAGAGCTGGGGAGATGATCCAAGGAAGAGGCAGGATTGCTGTCCCTGGAGAGTTCTATGAGCAGGTTAAGTAAATATTGTCAGGAATAGCACAGGTCAGGGACCAGCTCCACTGAGGAGTGCCAGGGCTTTCTATTCCCCTTTCCCAGAGGTGAAGCCTGCTCCTATTAACCGGGAGAGAGCTCTCCTTTGGGGAAGGGAGTGGGAAGCAAGAGGTTCCTGCGTTTGGGGCTTTGGGGTTTGCATCTTCTCCTCACAGACACCACTCTCAGTGTGCCACAAACCTGCCCCATGACACCTCCAGAGCTCCTGCTGTGCAGGGATCATTCTCAAGGGTTTTTCTGGGGTTTTGGGGCAGGAACGAACCAAAGCCCTGAGCTGTGGAGCCCAGAGGGGCTGCCTGGGTACCTGTGATGGGTCTGAGCCTGCGCAGCACCGACGAGGGACGTCTCATGTCAGCCAGGAACTTGTACAGGTCCTCATCGCTCAGGCGATCCCCCTCCTGCTCAGGGGGCAAGATTTGGTTACCCAAACAACCCCCAGGGCTGCCAGGGACTGAACAAAGCCTCTCATCCCACAGGCTCTTCCCTCTGCCATCAAACTGCCTTCCCAGAACAAGGTGTTAGCATTAATGTGTTAAATTACACTTCATTTCTCCATCCTTTCCCCTTCCTTCATCCCTTATTAATCATCCTGACAGCTGCAGGAACTTTTAATTGAAAGCCTTTTCTCTCCTCATCAATATTATCTTTTTCCAAACTGGAAATGGCTGCTAAAAGATTTCCCAAAAAATAGCCATTTTTTAGCAAGTGTAATAGTTTGAAGAAGTATCTGTCATTCAGCAGGTGATCCTGATTCCTTCTCCTCTGCTTTTCCTTTGGGATGATTATTTTTCAGGTAAAGTAGGAAGTGCAAGGAGTCTGTTGCCAGGTTTTTTTGTGCCCACTCTAATAGCTCAGAGTTTTGCTAATTTTGGAAATATTACAGAAAATGGGACTCTGCCACCCAAAAGCAGAAGATACCTGATTTTTAAGGTAAGAAATCACAACATAAAAAAAAAAAAAAAAAAAAGAAATGAATGTAAGGAGAAAAACACTGGGTAGTATCCAACTAATTATACTTAACAGGACAAAAGGAAGATAACGATGAACCTGAAATTAAAAACCTTAAATGAATGTTTGGCAGTTTTTAAAGGACAAATTTAATAAAATGAGCTGCTTCAAAGTACAAATAACCTCAACAAAGTAAGTAAATACTTGCTTTTGTAAATCATTACTAACCTAGTGACCAGTTTTTCCTGACCTAGATGTGACATTAAGCAAATCTTAGAAAATTTTCAGCTCATTACTTTTTGCTAAGCTGAACTAAAAAATTTTCTCCCTTTAATCATGTTTTCTACTCTTCAGGAAAATCCCAAGCTCTGCCTAAGAGGAGCTGCCACTCAGCAAAGCAGCATCAAAGGCAAAATGCTTTGTTTTCCTCAGGGAGCTGATGCCAACCTTAAATCACTCTGAGGAACTGGATTCAGTACTACCAGAATTAATATATGATATCATATAATGCAATATATAACTGAAAGAGAGTAGGTTTAGATTAGATATTAGGGAGAAATTGTTCCCTGGGAGGGTGGGGAGGGCCTGGAATGGAATTCCCAGAGCAGCTGAGGCTGCTCCTGCACCCCTGGAAGTGTCCAAGGCCAGGCTGGAGCACCTTGGGATGCTGGAAGGTGTCCCTGCCATGGCAGGGGTGGCACTGGATGGGCTCTAAGGTCCCTTCCAACCCAACCCAGTCTGTGATTCCATGATAATTGATATATAACATGATAAACCCACTGAATGCTGTGGAAAGATTCCCTGTGACTGGAGAACAGAACTCAAACACATCACAAATTCATCCCTCAGTGAGCTCACACGATCCAACCCTTCTGTCCAAGAAACAGCTCCTTGGTGAGACCCTTCCCTGCCATACCTGTTTGAAGAAGTTGGTGACTGTCAGGGTGGCTGGTCTGAAGCTGCTCAGGTTGCAAGCCTCATCCCCACTCGTGGTCCTCTCCAGGGAACGTCTCCCCACGATGCTGGAATTCCTCCTCTCCGACCACGACCCTTTACGTTCTGCAAAACACGACAGTGAGAAGAAAAGGAATTCGGGAAAAAGCAGAAAAACTACACTCCAAGAGCCTACTTTTGTTCCCATCAGGGTTGTTTTCACAGGAAGAGAGGGAATGATGCCATGAGGTGACAGAAGAGGTGGCTGTGCCCAGGCAATCCTGCTCTGGAGGCACTGGGAGGCTGTGGGGCACAGCTGACTCCTGCTCCCCTCCCAGCCACCTCACCCCAGTGCCTTCCTGCTGTTAGAAAAGTCTTTATCATGCTGAGATTTATGTATTTCCCTTGCTCTGAAAGATGATGAAGTTGGCAGTTTTGGGGATGCTGAAGTGCAGTTTTGGATGAGCTATGTGGCTCACAAAGATTAATCCACTGCTTTGGAAAATGTTCATCAGCCTGTAATGCTCCCTCAGTCTCACAAGCCTGGTTTTCAATAATATAACAGATGGTTTGCTTGTAAAATCCTTGAAAGATAAATCCATTTGTTATGGACTTTTCTGTTTTATTTCAACCATGACCCCAGACCATCCAGGCAGGGAGAGGAAAGCCATAAAAGGAGCAACAGCAGCTACAGGACATGAACCAAAACCTCTGGATTTGCCCCCATTCCCTCCTGCAGATCCTTTACCTCCTGTGCCAACTTCAACTTCTGTGGAATCCCTTTCCAAGCTGCCAGCACTGCTCACAATGTTCATGAGGTGAATGGCTGTCCAGGCAAAAGGCATCCGGTACTTCCCCAGTCTTTGGCAAAACTGCTCTGCCTGGCCCTTCAGTTTTTCCAACTTCTCCTTGTTCTGTGAAAAAAATATTCAACCCAAGAGGTTAAGACAAGAAGAGGACCAGAGGTTCATTGAGTGAGGAATGATGGTGTTCTTTTCTAACTCCCAATGATTGTGTGTTTCAGCAGTTCCTTCCAAAGCAGGATCACCAAGTGTTGGGAAAATCCAACTTTTGCTTCCCAAAAGAAGCCACCAGAGGACAGTCAGAACAACCTTTTATGTTCTTAACCCTCCTGAACAGCCTGTCAAATCCCAGTGACCTCATCTAGCCACTACTCCTTCAACAAAATCTGAATTTTCCCCTGCCAAGTCTGAAAGGGCCTTTCCTAATGTGATTTTATGCAGCAAGTGCTCAGATCATCTGGAGTTGTATGGGAAACTGAAAACATTCCTCAAATAAGCAGCATCCTATTCATTTTGTCAAGGAAAAAAGGGAATAAAATAGGATTTTTCCATAGCTCTGCATACTAAAGAGCAATTTTTAGAGCTTTAGGGAGGAAATATTTTATTAAGAGGTTGATTAAAATGAACAAATAATCCAAGCTTTGAGAAAGGCTAATGGAGAGGCTGGGATCACAAGAAGGGCTGGAACCTCTGCTCTGCCCTTCACCCAGCCCTCATTACTCCCTTTTGATCTCCACCTCAAAGCAAGTGCACACACAATTAGGAACCATTTTTGAGGTTCTTTTAGAATCAGGCAGAAGTGATGGGGTTAAAGCTGCAAAAGCAGTGGAAAAGTTGAAATTTTGACTGCAAATTCCCATCCAAGGCTGCCTTCCCTTGACCCAGCTGTCCTTTGGGACAGGGAATCACAGATGACTGAGCTTGATGGGAACCACAAATCTCCCCTGACAGCCACAAAAACTGCTGACCTTTAACTACTCCACCCCAATAAGGCAGCAAAACTCAAAGGCTCTTCTTTGGCCTTTAGAATGGGATTAGACTCTTAATTAAAAAACAGATCCTTTTAAAGAGAGGAACAGTATCAACCTTCCAAGGTAAAATAAAATACGTTAAATTTTTTATCAAAACAGCAAAAAAATTCTTACCTTTGCTGCATCAGATTCTTTAAAAATCATATAAGGCTCTGCACACTCCCCAATATCTCCCTGCTGTAAAACTTTTTCCAGCTGAGAAGGGAAAATGAACCATTATAAGGACATGTATCCAGCAAGGATTAATAAACTGAACAAGCACAAGGAAGCAAAAAATTTTTTCACAAAAGCTAAAGCCTGGTGAGTCCTTGTGGAAGAAACATTTCCTGCACAACTTTCACATTGCCTGTGAACTGAAAATCTGTCTTGAACTCCCCTTTTGACCACAGGATGATTTTTATCCAGAGTCCAGCCAAAAATCCCGACTCAAACACCCACCTGAACATCTGTGCCCTCACAGAATCAAAGGGGAGAACAGAGAAAAACTTTTATCTTTGTGTACTCTATCCCAGGAGTGACCAATGCTGCATTTTATTTCAGTTATGGATCTCACTCTCTTAGCAATTTCAGCCCTTAAATACATCTGAAAATCTGGCTGAGGGGTGTGTATCCTTTTTGAAATGAGATTCAGATCAATAGATATTTTTAAATCACTGACTTATCTGTCATTTCAAGGAGTCAGCACACTGTTTTATATGAAAACCAAGGTCAAGCCCCAGAAAACTGATTTATATCATCAAGCAAACCTTTGTGCTCTTCCCAGTTTTAGTGCACTGAACTGGTTGTTACAAAGAAAGTGAGAATACTTGAAATAAAGCAGCATTGTGTTCACACTTTTGAGAACAGAATTTCTGTTTTATTTTAAATAAAAAAACCAAGAGACCACAATAATTTCCATTTGCCTGGCATTTCTTACCTTTATTACTAGAAAGACATCTTGGGATGGGTAGGTGATAGAAAAGATGGCAGATCTGGCCAGGGTGGAAATAGCAGCAGGGGGGACATGAGGCCGAAGCATTCCCTTCATTTGCTCAGAGTTTAAATCAAAGTAGAAATTCTCTGAAATCTAAGGAAGAAATTGGGGAGTTTCAAGCATTAGTGATATCTTTTTTTTTTTTTTTTGTAAATTCTTCATTAACAATTTTAAATTGTTTTAAAATGCATGTTAAATGTTTAATGTTAATACATGTTTAAAAAAATGTTAAAAACACCTTGTTTCACACCATGTATGAAAAGAAAAAAAAAAGCCTTTTTGATTAAGAAATCAAGGCAGGACATTGAGAAAGGAAATGGAGGAAACATCACAAACTACCCATAAAATTTCCTCCAGCTCCTCTAAGGTGTGTAGCTCCATCACAGGATTAGGAATTACCATTGTTAGCTGAACTGAAAGCACCAGAATATCAAAACAAAGACAGAAAAATAAAAAAACAACACCCCTTGAAAGACAGACACTGAGCTTTCTACCCTAAAACACCAAATCCTTGAGTGCAAAGCTTCAGAGCCAAAAAAGATGTGAGCAGGTTACCAACACCAGAGGTCACTAAAGGACTTAGTACGTTAGAGCCAAAAAAAGAAAAAAGGAGTAATGAGATGATAAAATTGGCTTATGAAATGTGATTTAAATATTAAACAAAGTTCACATAATATTCCACATACTCTCATCTACATAACTTAAATCTCAATGCATTAAATTCAAGTCTTAAAGAGATAAATGTCAAAATGCGTATTTTTAACATTTTTCTCTCCACTACTGCTAATATCTTGAATAAGGAAAACTAAGAGACTCTTTAAATATTAAATACAGAACATAAATAGGCGAATAAATGTATTTCCCATTTCCTATAACTTAGATCTTGAAAAGACTCCTCAGTTTTGTTTTGATTTTAGCAATTTTAGCATGTGTGACTTTCTCGTGCATTATTCAAGTGTTGCTTGGACCCATTCCATGCTGAATCACCAAAAAGAGATTAAGAAAATCATAAAAACCTAATCTAAATAAAAGGTTTCAGTTACCTAAGTTCTCTCTGGGGAAGAGACTTTTGAAAGACAAAATTGGACTATATATATATATTCTGATTTCAGGCACTCACAAATTAGATAATATTTTTAGGAAAGTGGTTATATCTCAACTGATTTACCAAGAACACACATGATGGTTCATGAAATGCCATCATCAGTCTTCCAACCTCTATGTCACTGTCCTCTTAAAGCTTTGCCACCAGAATCAATTCCTCCATCCTTGGTTTTAAATTTCAGTGGAAATGTCACACTCAAGTAATTAAAAACCTACCTTCTTCTTTTCTTTAACATCATACAAAGCCAAACTTGCAAAAATGGGCTCAATTTCTATTTCAAATCTTGAAAGAAGGAAACACAGAATCAGTTGATTTGCATTTTGTCAGAAGGAATAACCAACCCTGTCCCCAAATCCTCCCTGGCTGATGGGGACTGAGGGTGTCAGGAACAGCTGAGCCAACCCAAGGGCTGCTCCTGCTCCAAGGGATCTTATTTCCCAATTTCCACCCCATCCTCCCACCAGGACCATGTCAGTGCTCCTTGGACTTTCTAAAAGCCATTTTAACTCACTGAAAGCCAAGCAAAGCAGCCCAAAAGCTTCCTCAAAGGGAGGGGAATTGTTATTTGGGATAACTGGAGCACTCAGCTGCCCTTTTTCCCTGAATTGGAGAATCCAATTTCCTGTGCTGCTCCAGCTAAATGGCCAACTCTTCCTCTCAGCACCACTGGCCAGAGGGCTCCTGCCTCTGGACACTCAGGGACACCTGAATTTTGGCAATTTTCAACAGTTAACTGTTGTCAGAAAATACCAAAAACTCCTTTAAAAACGTGCCAGCTTTTCACAGTGACTGTAACCCAGTGTTTATGCAAATTCCAACACTCCCAACAGGAACAGTGATCCACCAAACAGAATTGACTAGAACACCTGGGGAGTTCAAGGAATTTCAAAACATTCAAAACCTGTCCCTGCACCACGGCAAGCAGGGGCTGAAATGCCATTTTTTCTGCACAGCCTCCCCACAAAATCCATGCCCCGTCCATGCTGGGATCCCCTCCACACCCAGCCCTTGCACAGAGCTCCCAGCTTCAGCCTGGAATTCCTTCTTCCAACAGGGACAAACAGGTGTTTTCTCCAGTTTTGCAACAAAGCTGAGATTAACCTGGAAATGACCCTGCTTAGATCATCTGAGCCTTCTCCCTGGGGAAAATGTCCTTGTTTTGTGCCACTGAGATGGCACAATCTTGGATTACATCCCACAAGGCTCAGAGGTTCCCAGGTACACAAGCAAACATGTAGCTGGGCAGATTTGCTATAAATTTGCAGTCAGCAAGAGATGCTTAAAGAGCAGAAAACATTAATTTCCAGCATCTAACTTATTTATGCTAAAGACACCCTCCTTTGGAGGGAAAGCTGCACTGCTACTGCATATTATGTTGTTCCAGTTCATAAAAGGCTGCAAAATCAGTTCATCTCTATGGCTATATTAGGTCCTGGAGTACTCCACGAGCAGGAGAAATGTCCCACACATATATCTCAGTTATGAGCAGCAACTGGAGCTCTCTAATAAGAAGGGTTGACCTAACTGAGGACACAGAAGATGAATACAGCAGTGTGGAAAATCAGTTTTGTACTTTATTTCTCCAAGGGAATAACAGTAAAATTTTACCTTGTGTTATTAGAGAAGAGTTATAGGCAATGAACCAGCTGCAGGTAACCCTATATTCAGGAGCTCCACTTCATTAAACTTGTTTAACAGGTTTCTATTCCTCCAGTTAATGCTTACTAAGTATATAAAGTCTTCACTCTTAAAGGGACACACTCAAGGTTGTTGAGCCTAAACTTTGGCAAATCTTTGGCTGTCTTTATGTTTTTAAGGCTCGAGCATTTTTCATCTTCAAATTTAATCTCAGATTTCCTCATTAGGGAGGGGAACACCAGTGAGTGGCCAGCTTGGGAGCCCTGGAGGAGTGTGGTGAAGCCTCATGTCACGTGCCAGTGACATGGAACAGGTAGAGCTGGAAAGCTACAGGGAGAAAAGCCAAGGGAGGTGGATATTTCCTGTCTCATCCATCTGCAGGAAGTCTTGAAGACACAACTGTGTAACTCACTCTTTACAAAATTAACCTCAAAGCTTATGCCCAAACAATGCACTATCTCTTCCAAGGCAGTGGAGTTATTCCAGATGCACATGGATGCAGCAGGAGATTTAAATTCTGAATTTCTGCAGTGCAGAAATCTGTTGGAGTGGTACTTACTTCAGGGACAAACACTTCACCAGGAGTCTTTGGCCAAAGTGTTCTTTGGGTACTTCAGGGACACTAAGTCTCTCTATGGGCTCCTCCTGGAATTAGAGACACAATCCTGTACAAATTCCTGTACACCAGCACAATCAGGAGACAAACACATCTATCACTTTTTTCTCCTAAGACACAGCACCAATTTAATCCGAGGCTTCCCAGCGTGGTGCATTCATCAGCAGCTATAAATATGCTAAATTAAATCTCTTTAATGTTTCTACATTACTGAGGATTGCATAACCAGAAGGGAAACCCAATCTTCAGAAAGTATTATCTATGGGCAAGACAATATGCTGAAAAACACAAAATAGCTGCAGTTCTCATGCATGTTAAGCACAGGTGATCTCAAACCCTGTAAATCCACGGCAGACTGACAGCTTTCACAATCCCTATACCCTTCTTTTTATTTTTTTTTAGTCTCACCCACGTGCACGTAAAAATACCTCATCTGGTGCTGGGTGTAGTGCAAAAAGCTCCTTATGCCTGCTGGACTTCCTCTGGTCCTCGTTGTGGTGGTCAATCTCCTCGTTTGGGGTTCTGTCCAGCAGGTTTGGGAGCAGGGCATCAGGCAGGGAGTTCTTGAGGTCGAAGATGCTGCAGGCCCAGCTGCCCCGGGGGGTGTCATCAATCGACATTGAGCGGCGCTTGAGGTCATCCTGAGAGCCAACAAATGACCAGCAACTCATCATGGGAAGGGGACTGCACTTTTAAAGCAGGACTAGAAATTAGGTTTTATGCAGCGAGGTTTTAAAGGCACATTACTTGTTCATCCTGGTAGCTGTTGCCATCTGGAGCCTCGTCAGACTCGAAGATCTGTTTGGGGAGCCCTTTTTGCCTCTCCTTCTGTTTGTCCAAGGTGTTGGGATTGAACCCAGTTCCCAGCTTGTGGTATCTGCAAACAGAGGATTTCAAACACGTTCTTAGCAGCCCTTTTGACCCCGACCTCAGAAGCAGCACCCCAGAACAAACCCAGCATTGTCAGCGTGGGTTCTCCCGAGGCAGGAGCTGCTCTCTGCAAACACAATTTCCAGTCAGCTCCACTGGAGCTGGGGCATCATCCAACAGCCACTATTCCAACACTACAATGTGACTCTGTTCATCTATAAAGCCACTCTGGGTGATGTCAAAAGGAGGATTATCAAGGGCCAATTAAAGTCGTTGTAAAATGTGCCATTGTGATGCCAAGCTAAAAACAGGCTGGGAACACAAGGGCTGAAGGCCAGTGGTTCTGCTGGGGCAGGAACTGACTTGGAGCAGATAAAATGATTAACTGGAAAACCAAAACAGCAACTCAGGAAAATGCTGAGCACCTCTGCAGAGCAACTTTCCAACCCTGACTGAAACGAGTATCTCCATATAGCATCTTTGTGAGGAAAATGGGTCCCTCAGAGCTGTCCAGAACTCCTACAAGACAACAGTCTGCCTGCTGTGCTGACAGGAGCAGGTCTCTTTGACTAACAAATTTTTGGGTGCCAAATGGCACCAGGTCTGTATTTATACACACACACATGGGTAGAGCCACAGTCTCCCTGCAGTACTCACTCCAAGCCAGTTCCTGGGATCACATCTAGAATTAATTGTTCTTACCACGCCCTGGTACTAAAGTTACCACAGAGGGATGCTCCAGACATGGGAAAACCATGGATATGCTAGCAGTGAATAAAGGAAGGGAAGAGAAAAAAAAAAAAACGGGAATGTATTTTCCTTGCTAGGCTGTAATTCCTGAGAGCTGAACAATAGGATCTATAAAATCCTCACCTGGATGTCTGCATTTCCATCACAGCTCCACCAACAAGTGCAAATCATCTCTAATTCACACCTGACTTCCTCAGTCTAGCACACAGAAATTATACTATAAGCTTGATATCAGAATATGCTAGTGGGTTTTTTTCAGGCCACTGAAACTTAATTTACCTTTTCCAATATCATTAAAGGAATTACTGAATGGGTGGATTTCCCTGCCTCAAAAACATTTTGGTTACAAAAAACTGGAGGCAGAGATGGACATAAAGATTATTTTCCCTAGGGTGGAGAAGAAAAGCATGGAATGTCACAAGCCAATTCAGCACTTCTTCCAAGAGCTGGGGTTTGTGCCCCTGGAGCTAGCCAGACGACTTGGAACCATCCAATGGGATGGATTAAGAGGAAATTGTTGGCATCCTTATTTGAAAAACAATTCAGTCCTTCCCAGCTGAACTTTTGGGTTCTTCCCCTGCTCCAGCAGTAACTCTTCAATTTCTGCCCAATGCACTGCCATGATTTTATCCAAGCAGAAAGTGCTATGGCTCTCAGAGGAACAAAACCCCACCAAACAAACCTCCTCAGAGCAGGAATCACAGCCAGGAACTCCAGGTACCAATGGAAGTCACTGAGAAACCAAGAGTGGGTGGCTGGGTGGGACACACTGCCCAGCTCTGTGCTGCCAAGGCTGGGAGTTAATAAAACATCTCCCTCCCTCTTGGGTCCCTTTCTGGGTGGGTTTGGTTTTTTTTGTATGAGATTACAAAACACTTTTTTATTAGGTCACGTTAGCAGTGCCAAGCATATCCTGAGCATCCCCTGAAGTGGCTCTCAGGACAACATTAAACCAGTGAATTGTAGCAACTGCCACAAGGGCAGAGCTGGAGCTGCACTGAGTCATTTGTAGGTGATGCACATCACATGGATCACTTACTCCATGACAGCAGCTCCTGAAGTCATCAGACTCCAATCATCTGAGAGTCTGTGCTCCATCCAAAGCCTCTCAGAACCCTTCCTGCTAATTTGCATGGACTAATCAATGCATGCCCATCCTCTGAACTGTTAACTCATTAGGTAAATGTTGTGATGGTTCAAATATTAATAATTATTTGTTTGACTGATGTACTTTCCCCAGGTCTCTCTGGGAAGCAATGGAAGCTGCAGAGGGCACCTTGGCTATCAGATGGTTGTGACTGCACATAAGTTGTGTATCTCTGCAAAATTAATGCAGCTAAAAAGAACTAAAACCAGATGGAACAAAGAAGGAAACAAATGCTGAAAGTAATTTTACTGGTCCACATTCCCGAATTGCTCTACCATGGTAAAGGAGCAACTGTGGACTGAAATGGCCCAGATTTTCCAAAATGCCCCAGGGAGTTTTGATGTCCGAGGTCCAATTTTCCAAACACAAAGCATCAGTTCAGCTGAACCGGGCAACTAAAAGCCAGAGCACGTGGAATCAGCAGCCAGGACAATATTTTTGAGCCTCCTTGGCCAAAATTTCAATATGAACTAAAGGTGCCAAGCACCGCAGGGGAACTCACTTTCTGTTCACGATCGCCCAGTCCTCCGTGTAACTCCTGACACAGTCCCTCACGTGAGGATCCATCTCGCTGTGAAAAGAACAAAAACCAGAGATCACAGGGGTGACGGTGACTCCCTGAACGCACATTTCACTCCCTGGAGCATCAGCAGTGCCCTCCAGCCTCCCTACCTCTCCTCGGGCACGGCCGACACGAGCGTGCGGCACTCGCGGGGCGCGTAAACCACCTCGATGTCATCGGAGGGAAACTCCAGCAGGTCCCGCAGGGGCCCCGACTCCAGGGCCAGGGGGTGCGTGCTGAGATACTCCTCCAGGTCCACGGGCTCCACAGCTTCTGTGAGAGGCACCTGGGAACACACAGAGCACCACGGGGCCTTACAGCGGGGTGAGGGAATGAGGAAAAGTCGCACGCGAGTTTTCTGCTCTTTTTTTTCAAACCAGTTCCTCTGCCCTGCTGAGGGGTTTGATGAAGCATCAGGTGATTAACCCCAGTGGTGTTAACCTCAGCTAACACACATCACACAGATGTTTCTCGTGTCTTATCTTTTATCTGATGTTCCTCTGCGTGGTTCTCTGGTGTGTACCACCAACACCTCAAAAAAATACAACTAGAGCCAGAAAAGGTTACGTCTATTTTCAAGAAATACAACAAAAGGAAACTTAGTACTCGATTTCCCACGTATCTGAGCCTGGATTTGTTTTTATCAGACTCTGATCACAAAGAGAACCTTGATCCTGATCCAAGATGCAGGAACCCTTCCTCCCTTAGGCACAGCCAGAACCCTGAGCAAGTCCTGATTTACCAGGAACTCAGGCAGCCACAGGGCTCTGAGGACTAACATTATTTTGAATTAAACCACCTCTCTGGGGAACACAAAACACAATGTTCACCTACCACAGGTACAAGTTTAACCACCTCTTCCCCCTGATATTAGAGCCTTTAGTGCCACAATGACTCTGCCCATGCCAGGAAGAGACACTGCCCTCAATAAAAAAATCATCTTTACTGGGCACAAAGCCTTTACCTGAAGCACAAGGAATGACTGAACACGTGCAGGAAAACAGCAGATTTCACTGGCAGTGCTGATCTCACCATCCTGAGCTTTTTTTAGAAACATTAGAAGAAAATTTGCATAAACTAGATACATACATTGCATAACTTGTATTTTTACATATTTCATTACATAAATACATATAAATATTCTGATATGAGATCATTATGCTATGAGGCTATACATAAACATAGACATTAAGAAAATGAAACACTAAAAACAAGTTTTGAGGAAGCTGTCTCTACAGCAACTGACAGATTTCCTAGAATTCCCTGGCACATGCCAGTAAGGCTGAGTGTTCTAACAAGTGTCACAAAATACACATCCAAATTCAGCAGTTTCCTCTACTAACTTCCCCTTTCCTGACATCCAGATGATTTCTGTGGGACAAGGAACTACCCTGCAGCTTGTATTGGAGATGACTTTAAAAAGAACACTCAGTTCTTTTTAAATGTGCTTCCAGAAAGTATTGCTATACAAACTCCAAATTCCAGTTTTCAAACTATTACCAACAAGTTCTGAAATGAATCAATTTTTTATTCAAGGAAAAACACTTGGCTCACACAGAGGACTGAAAGAATCTCCCTACCACAAGCAACCTCAATGAATACTGCAATTTTCTTAGAAGGCAAATCCTTCAGTGGGAAACCAGCGTGACTCCAAGGAAGTCAGGGGAGTTGGACCAGATGACTTTTTGCCAGATAAGAATCTGGCTCACAAAAAAAAAAAGAAAAAAAAGTGATGGCTAAAATGTAGTATTTGCTTCTGTAATTTAGGCAAAATAAATTCATTTCTGTGTAAAGAAATATCAAAAGAATCATAGAAGAGTTGGAAGGGACCTTAAAGACCACACCTCTGCCATGGGCAGGGACACTTTTCACAAGAACACGATCATCATCTCCTTAACCCCATAACCTTTCCCCCCCCTTCTAATCTGAACTCTTGAAATGGACACAAAGTGATTTTGGAGAACTTTTGGAAACACAAACCAGACACTTTTCAGCGTTTTCATCGCTGCAACGCTCGCCACGAGCAGAACCTGTCACTGCTCCTTCCCACATCACAGCTGAGATGTCACCACCTCACCCAGCTCTGTGCAAACAGCCAGGCCAGCTCCATTTGGCACGAGATCCCTGACAAATGTCACTGAGGGGTGACAGCTTTTCCTGAAGGAATTGCTCTCAGTGCCTGTTTGTTTCCAAGTGCTGCAAAATTCCAGCTCTGCTCTGCGTCACATTGCCCCTTCCACTGACAAACCTCAGAACCAAAGAGGAACCACCCAGCAAAGGAGACCCCTTGTAAATGAAGATAAAATTAACAAAATCACTGGGCAAAAGCTCCAGAAACAGGGGGTGTCCAGAGGTGCTGGGGAAAGAATCCCTCACATGGCCCCATCCATGCAGGGATGCTGCTCCTTGCTGGGCACTGACAGCACCCCCAGAGGGGTAAGGAAACCTCATGGGGTGAATTAAAGCTGCTTAGCTGACCCTGTTTTTAAGCCCTAACATTTTAAGACGTACTTTTATTCCTCTTTCTCATCTGGAAGTTCCAAAGTTGAAGGATCTTCCAAAAGTGAGCTGCCCATGCAAGTGCTGTGTTTTAATCTGCACAAACTCATTTATTTACCTGTGATTCTCTAACACAGAGGAACCAATCTCTCCACTCCACTCATCCTGATAAACAGAATTACACAACAGATGAGGAAAAACCTCTGTATTAATGCAGAGCTCACGGGGTCATGCAGGACCGAGGGTGTGAGACTGTCACAGTCCAAAACACAGCCCTGGAATTTCACATCTCCAATTCCCTTTGCCCAACAGGAGCATTGTGATGTGCTGGACAGGAGATGATTGAAATGGCCATGCCAGTTAAAAATCACCCAATCCAGAAAGGCAGGCAGTGCTCAGGGGCTCTCCAAGCCCTTCACACATTTCAGGATTAAGCCCAAGGTTGCACTTCACAATTTTCCAGTTTGTCTCTTCCAGTAACTATTGTACCATGAAGATGTAAACAAACATCACAGTCAAACCCAGAGGCCTGTGTTAGACTCACCATCTGTGCAGCCAGAAATACTGTCTAGCACCTGAGTAAACAGGCCAAACATAAATTCTTGGGTATGGAGAGGAACTACTCGGTGTCAGACTATTGGCAGATAAAAAGCAAGAACATTATTTTAGGCTTCAGATATTTGTGGGGGAAGAAGTGATGAAAGAGGAGGAGGAAAGAAGGATGAATAAATGCACCAAAAGGAAGATGAACCTAAAAGATGTCCCCATGTGTGAACAGAACCACAAGAGCTCCTCTCAAGGCTCTTGCTGTCAATGGTTTAACCTTTCTCCTGTCCTGCTTCATGTTCCAAAGGTGTGGATGGGGACAAGGACGCACAAAATACCTAAAAAAGGGCTATTCTTGTGTTATTTGGGTAAAGCATCAGTCACCTGAAATTGCCACACAAACCCATCAGGTGAAACGTGCACAGCAGAGGAGTTGGACGAGCTCAGGTAAAGCCCAGGTTACCCAAGCCCATCATCCCAACCAACCTCGCTGCTGCTGGAGGAGCAGAACCTGCTCTGCCATCTCACCTCCAGCCCAGCTGACCTCCTGTGGCAACAGGAAAAAAAAAATAAAAACAAAAAAAACCCCAGAGGCTGATTCCCCTGGCCTGCAGCAGTGTGACACCGTGGGACAGCTGATGTCAACTGTCACAGAACTGCCAGCCCTGCCAGCTGCACGGGGAAAGGTTGGAAATCTGCTGCAGCAGGAAGGGGGAACAGCTGAGGAGGACAAAGCTGTGCTGTCCCACAGCCCTGCTGCTGGCAGGATGCAGACACAGCCATCCTCAGTGCATTCTCCATTCCTCCTGGCAGCTCCAGGGAAGCCACAGTAGGTGTCTCCTTCCCAAAACACAGCCAGCTCTTCACTGGACTTCCAAAGGCAGAAGGACAATTCCCGTCAGGAATTTGTAGACATGCAGACCACCTACTAACTGGCTAATCACAGAATCCAGAGTGGGTTTGTAGGGAAGGACCTTAAAACTCATCCTGGTTTAACCTTGACACCTCCCACTGTCCCAGGGTGCTCCAAACTCAATGTCCAGCCTGGTCTTGGACACTCCCAGGGATCCAGGGGCAGCCACAGCTTCTCTGGGAATTCTATTCCAGAGCCTGCCCACCCTCACAGGGAGAAATTTCTTAATATCTAATCTGAATTTCTCCTCTTCTAGTTTGAAACCATTCTCCCTATCACTGTCTGCCAGTGTAAAAAGTCACTCTCCTTGTTTTTTCTAAGCCCCCTTTAAGTACTGAAAGGCCTCAGTGTGGTCTCCCCTAATAAACCTAATGGTGAATATTGGAGTGTTACTGCAATAAATCCTTGCCAGAGGCTCCATTTCTGTTGAGTTTATTAAGACCCTCCAGAAACCAAAGTCTGCAAGAGCCCTGAGCATCTTCCCCACCAGGACCAGAGAATAATGTGAATTAATAGCAAATACCTGCTAAAAATATGCAAAGGAAAGCTGCTCCCAGAATTGCTGCTCTTTTAAAAAATACTCTTTGATTTTGTGCAGGGTGTAATTACAGATGAAATCCTGGACAATTCCCTAACATGGTTTATCTTTATCCCAGGATCAGGCACTGCCACCTCACTCATGGCAAGCACTGTGCTGGTGCTATTAAAATCCACAGGAGGACAATGTGGGGAGAAAGGGCAGCTCAGGATGAGTAAGAGGGGCATAACCTGCTCCCTGCCAGCATAAACACTGTGTTTATCACAGCACTGATAAACTCAGAGTACAACAGAAATCAAACAGGACTCCCTCCCTGACCCTGACAGCTACCCCCATCAAACCCCTCACTTGGAAATAACAATTCTGCATGTCCTGAACCTGCCCACAGACATGTTCAATCACTCAACTCAGACAGCAGCCTGCTTGATTTGGCTTCTCTAACCCATTTAACAGGCAGTTTGCAGAGGTCCACCTGTGTTGCTGCAGTTCTGGCTCTCAGCACTTGCAGGACAAACCCCTATTTCAAAGGTTTACAGCTCTCCTGCAATGGGGACACTCAAGCTTTCTTTTTTAAGGTTGTGTTATTCTTCACTGTTACATCCCCTTAAAAGCTGGAAAATAAAACTGCGTTCCCTATCGACTTTGCCCTTCTGCAGACAGCAAACATTGTATTTTTGTGGAGTTTTACTGCACATGTCTCTCTCCTATTTATTTCCTCCTTTTGAGCACCTACCTGGATCATCATCATCACTTCCAAAAGCACCTGCACAAATCTGCAGGAGCCTCAGTG